TTAAAGGTTACATACATGGTGAATGTGTTTTATTTTCAAAGGGAAGAACAAGCCATACACATCATGTAGATTCACACTTTTGTGTGCAGGCCTTTTTCTCTTCTGTGTATATAGAGATGTCCATTTTGTCTGGCATTTGTCAAATTAAAACACACACACACACACACACACACAAATGTGAAAAAAGTCCCATTATCTAACTTCAACTGGGTCCCCACTGCAGTAAAGCAATCCTTTTATTTAACCTTAATTCCCAACCTCCTCTCATGCCTTCTCTCCTCACTGCCACGCCACCCCACCCCAGTCTACTCGCCAAGGGTCTTACCTCTTCCTTTACTCAGAAAATTAAGGTCACTTGACTTGAACTCCCTCTTTCCCCACTTTTTTATCTCAAAACTCCTTGAAACATCATTCCTTTTCCTCTTCCTTCCCCTTATTCTTTTAAAATAAGGTGATCCTCTTCCTGACCAAGGCCAATCCCTCTCCATGGGGACTTGATTTCATTTCATCTATCTGCCTTCTCCAACAGACTGTGACCTCGAGGGTTTCTTCTCAAATCTTGAAACTCTCCCTAATCTACTAGTTCCCCCCTACTTACCCTGCAATAATGTCAAGTCTCCTAGGCCAAAAAACACAACCACTACCACACCTTCCCCCAAAACCCTTTGAATCCAAAAACTTGATTCCTTCTCCAAGCAAAACTTCTAGAAATGGTTGTCTACTTCCACTGCCTGGATTTCCTCTCCTCTCACTGACTGTTTAGCCCTTTGCAATCCAGCCTCTACTGTCATCACTTCATTGAACCTTTTCTCTTCAAAGTTGCCCCAAATTCCAAGATGGTGAAATCTAATGGTTTTTGTCTCAACCCTTGTCCTTCTCAGTCTATCGTTGCACCTGATGCTGCTGGTTGCTCTTTGTCCTCCCTGGGTTTACGGGGCACCAGGATCTCCCAGTTCTCCCCACTTCTATTACTATGACTGCTATTACTACTACTACTACCACTACTACTACTACTACTACCACTACTACTACTACTACTACCACCACCACCACCACTACTTTTCTGAAGGCTCCCCAGTCTCCTCTGTTGGATCATCTTCCACATCAGACTCCTTCTGCTCCCCAGCTACAGGGGTTCCCCAAGGGCCTGTCACAGGGCCTCCTCTCCCTCTGTGCTCTGGTGGTAACCTCACCTGCCCCCAGATAGAGCTATCTATCTCTACCCAGGCCCAGTCTCTCCCCAAGTCCCAGTCCCACATCAACAGACACCTAGAGGGCCTTTCAAACTGGATGTCCCAGACATCTCAAACTCCACGCGTCCAAAAACCTACGCTCCTTCCTCTAAAACACACTCCTCTCCCATACTTCCCCTTCTGTAGAAAACATCACCAATCTTCCAGTCTCCCAATTTCACAAGCTCCCTCAATTAACAGAGCCAGTTACTCGTCTGATCCAACTGTTTCCACCTCTACCTCATCTCTATTATTCAGCTCCTTTTCTCTGACGTGGCTACTATCTCGATGGAGGTGCTAATACCATTGTCCCTAGACTAACGTAACAGACTCCTACTGGGTCTTCGGGTCTCCTCACTTCAGTCAGTCAATCAGCACTGATTAAACACCTGCTCTGTTTGAGGCACCGTGCTAGGTAATGACGACACAACATCTGCCTTCAACAAGCTCGCAATCTAACAGGAGATGACAAGCAAACAAAGGTGTACAAATGAGTTACAGGATAAACAGGTGCTAGAATTTCAGAGGGATTAGGAAAGATAGGATTTCAGCTGGAACTTGAAGGAAGTTAGGGAATCTGTATTAAGGAGTCAGAGATGAGGAGGAAGAGAATTTCAGACCTGGGGGCCAGCCAGAGAAAACGCCTGGAGCCAAGAGATGGAGAAGGATCTTGTTCTTGGAAGAGCCAGGAGGCCAGGATCACAGGATCAAAGAATCCAGGGCAGAGGGGAAGAGGAGGGACTTGCGGCAGTCAGACATCTAGCCACAGGACTAGCGAATGATTGCAATATTCCACCTAATGCTAACCCTAATTCTGAGGTTTCTAATGCTAATTCTATTTCAAATTTCATTTGTAACTCTAATACCATTTCTGACCCTAATTCCGTTCCCCAATTCCTGCCCTAGCTAAGTACCTAGAATATAGTAGGTACCTAAGAAATGCTTGCTGATTGACTGACTGTGGAAAGCAGAACCAGAATAATACATACACACTAACTACAAGTGTGTTTAAAAAAAAATTGGAAAAACGCCCACAATTTCAGGAAAAAACATACAGAAGAAAACAGTTCAGAAGCCTACAGGGATGTAATCAAGACACATTTCCTCTATCCTCTTGAAATTAATCTACAGTATTAATAACTTGAAAGTGGCAAGTTTGTAGACTGCTGTATAACCACTTTAATATCATTTCTGTCTATGCATGTTTTAAAGCACGTTTTCATTGATCTCTTTTGTTTCCATATCACCCACACTTTCCAACTCACGCCAGCAGTGCAGTAAGTAACCAGCACATTAGAAAAGTCTGATTTGATACAGTGTTCCACATTCCTGGGCCCAAGAAGCCAAAGGAAAAAGTACTTTCTCATCGGCCATCCTTCATGCACACCTAGAACACTCTCCCTTCATGATTCAGCTCAAATCCTACCTTTTTCAAGTCTCTGTTTTTCCCCTTCCCCCTCCCAAACAGTTGGTATCTCCCCTGTGAGATCACTCCCATTTATACTGTAGAAATCTTTTTTTTATCAAAGTTTTATTTTTTTTCCAAGTACATGTAAAAACCATTTTTTAACATTTGTTTTAAAATTCTGAGTTCCAAATTCTTTCCCTCTCTCCTTCCCTTTCTCCCTCATTGAAAAGACAAGCAATTTGATATAGACTATACATGTTCAGTCAGGCAAAACATATTTTCACATTAGTCTTATTGTGAAAAGAAAATACAGACCAAAGGTAAAAAAAAAACAACCCCAAACCCAAGGAAAATAAAGTAAAGAAAAAGTGCACTTTGATTTGCATTTAGACTCTATCAGTTCTTTCTCTGAACACGGAGAGCATTTTCCACCATAAATCGTTCAGAACTGGGGTCAAGAGTAGAAAAAGTTTAAGAAGGCCTGTCTTAGACCATTGTATTGCTGAGAATAGCTATGTCATTCACACTTGACTATCATACAATATTGCTGTTACTGTATACAATGTTCCCCTGGTTCCACTCATCCCACTTTGTATCAGCTCATCTAAGTCTTTCCAGGTCCTTCTGAGAGCATCCTGCTCATCATTCCTTACAGCACAATAGTATTCCATCACAATCACATACCACAACTTGTTCAGCCACTCCCCAATTGATGGATATTCCTTCAATTTCTAATTCTTTGCCACCACAAAAAGAGCTGCTATAAATATTTTTGTACAAATAGATCCTTTTCCTTTTTTTTTTTCTTTTTGGGATACAGACCTAGTAGTGGTATTGGCTGGTCAAAAGGTATGCGTGGTTTTATCGTTCTTTGGGCACAGAACCAATTTGTTCTACAGAATGGCTGAATTAGCATACAACTTCATCAATAGCGCATTAGTGTCTCAATTTTCCCACGTTCCCTCCAATACTTGTTATTTTCATTTTCTGTCATATAAGCCAATCTGATAGATGTGGGGTGGTACCTCAGAGTTGTTTTAATTTGCATTTCTCTAATCAAAGGGAGTCAGAGCATTAATTCATATGACTATAGCTTTGATTACTTTGTCTGAAAACTGCCTGTTCATATCCTTTGACTATTTATCAATTAAGGAATGGCTCTTATTTTTATAAATTTGATTCAGTTCTCTATATATTTGAGAAATGAGGTCTTTATCAGAGGAATCTGCCATAACAATTTTTTCACAGTTATGATTAATTTCCCTTTATCTTATTTTCTCCTGTTTATCCTACTCTTTCCTTTCACCCTGTCCATCCTCAAAAGTGTTTTGCATAGAAGGGAAAGGGGATAAGAGAAGGGGGGGGTGATAGAAGGGAGGGCAGATTAGGGGAAGGGGCATTCAGAATGCAAGCCATCTTGGGGTGGGGGGAAGGGAGAGATGGAGAGAAAATTTGGAAGGCAAAATCTTATGGAAATGAATGTTGAAAACTAAAATAAATTAACATAATTTTTTTAAGTGTTTTGCTTCTAACTTTTACCTCCTCCAATCTACCCTCCCTTCTATCAACCCCCCCACTTTTCTTGTCACTTTCCCATCTACCTTCCTGAAGGATAGATTTCTACACCCAACTGCTACACTGCATATATCTTGTACGTAAAAGAGTGGTTTGTATGGTGTGTTTCTCCCATTACAATGTGAACTCCTTGAGGAGAAAGGACCATGATTTTGCCTTTTTTTTGTACCACTGGTGTGGGGGCATAATGCCTGGCACCTAGTAAGCCCTTAATAAATATTTGTTGCCTGGCTGATTTCACTAGACACTCTGCAAATTGGCAAAAATATCAAAGAACAGGAGTAAACAAGATTGTAGTTTTAGAAACATGGGTGCACTAAGGCACTCTGGGTGGAGCCATGGATTAGCCCACTTATGCCGGAAAATGATCAGAAAAATCCAAAGAAAATGACTAAAATGTCCCTATGCTTTGACTGAAGGATTCCACTGCCAGGATCATACTCAAAGGAGATCAATGGCCAAAAGAAAGGACCCAGAGACACCAAAATACTTCTATATATGTAGCAAATTTGTAGTAGCAAAGCAGGTTTTTTTTTAAACTAGTGACTACTAAATGCTAAATGACTTTTAAAAAAAACACATAAAAGAAGGAAGATACAACTCATTCCCCGAGTCAGGGAAACACGAGATGAGGTGAGAGACATTAGGAAAGCGATTTCCTCAGGTGAAAGATGCACCCTGGCCTAGGATAGGTGGGGCCCTCGACAGGCCACTAGCCATCCATGCCAAGAACTGCCAAGAAGAAAGGCTGCTTGCATCTGCCTGCTTTTCCCCCAATCACTCACCTGGTGGAAGGTCTCTGGGAACACGTTCCTTTGCCCTCCGTGGGGCTTCTCTTCTCTCCAACAGGGAGATCACGTCCAGTTTGGAAACAGGAAGGCCTAAGAGGAGGTAGAAAAAGGAGACAGTTCTGAGGACAGCCAGAAAGCTATCTGAGAATTCAGTTATACTGACAGAAATGAAATGCCACAAAGAAAGAAACAAGGGAAGACAAAGACCCTAGAGCATGCCTTGTTTTATCTTCCCAGAGAACGTTCTCATTTAGGCTTAGAAAGACCCGTTCCACGCTAAAAGGGCAAGACCTTCCCATGTGTCTCCACTGAGATGTGGGTATCTGAAGCAGTCAAACGATGGACCCCTCGTATGGGCCAGCACGCGTGGGCAAAGACAAACAGGAGGAATGGCAGCTCACAAAGGGCCTTCATCCTATCTGGGGAAATCCCACGCACATGTATAACTATGTAGATACAAAATATAGAGATGATAAATCCAGGTTATCTCACAGAAAAGGCCCTCGTAGCTGTGGGGACGAGGACAGACCTCATGGAAAAGGTGGCATGTAAGGTCCATCGTGCAAAGGTCTGGAGACAGAACTGGAATGTCTAACAGGGGTGCCATGTGCAGTAAGTCTGGAAAATCCAACAGCCACGTGGTGAAGGGCTTTGAAACTAAAAAGGATTTTATACTTTATGTTGGAAGCAACAGGGAGCCATAGGAGCTTCTGGGGTAAGGCAATGTGATGGTCAGACCTGGGACCTGGGACTTATCCATTAAAGCATTTATTCAATATTTACTGTGAGCAGAGAATGGTGCTGGGAAGAGCCAAAGTTTCACTAAGACATGCAACCCCCCTTGCCTTTGGGGAAAGGAAAGTTTCCTGGAGCAAGCATTCTCCTGACTCCCTGAGGAAATGGAGCAGATATCTTTGACCTGAGGCTCCAGGGAGGGCCAGAACCCGATTAAACCCTAACTGGGAAATGTCTGACCAAATAAGTAAAAATACAACAGAGAGAATGTGACTTGGTGGTTTTCTAAGTCACGATGGGAGCAGCGGGGATCCCTTTCTGTCACTGCTGCAGACTCCAAACCATTTGTTCAAAGCAAAGACCTTTCCACTGGGACCAGAAAAGAAGCCAAGGCAGATCTGGGCCTCTCTTCACATCTCCTCAGCCCTCACGGCTGTACTTCCCATCTCTGTGCTGGTGACTCAAATCCACCTTTCTGCTGACCACCAATCTCCCACCTCCAGCTGCCTTTCAGACCTCCCAAACTGGACGTCCAGCACACATCTTAAACTCAGTATACCTGGGACAGCTAGGTGGCACAGTGAATGGAGTTCTGGCCTTGGAGTCAGGAGGACCTGAGTTCAAGTCCAGCCTCAGACACTTAACACTTCCTAGCTATGTGACCCTGGGCAAGTCACTTAACCCCAACTGCTTCACCAAAAAGCCAAAAAAAAAAATTAAACTCAGTATATGCAAAACAGAATTCACTCTCCTTCCCCCAACCCCTCTCCCTACCTTCCCTGTTACTAGAGAGGGCACCCCCTCCCCCAGTCCCTCAGGCTCCCAACCTAGGAGTCATGCTGGACTTCTCGTGGTCTGTCCCCCTCCCCCACATCCAATATGGTGGCATGGCCTGCTGATCTCACCTCTGCAGCAGCTCTCCAACATGCTCCCTTCTCTCCTCTGACATTGCTCCCACCTTGGTGTGGGTCCCTATTTCTCACACCTGGACTATTGCAAAAGCTTCTGGGGAGCTCTGCCTGCTTCAAGTCTCCATCCATCCAGCCCATCCCTCCTCCATTCAGCCCTAGAGTGATTTTCTTAAAGCGCAGGCCTGTGTTTTAAACCCACTCCTCAATCCACTCTCTTACCTTCAGGACCCCAGACAAAATGCTCTACTTAGCATCCTGAGCCCTTCATCACCTGCCCCCTTCCACCTTCCCAGTCTCCTTACTCTCTGCTCCCCTATGCGCACTCTTTGATTCAGTGACGCTGGCCTCCAGGCTGGTCCAAGAAGGAGACCCTCCACCTCTGGGTTCTGGGCATTGTCTCTGGCCGTCCCCAGGCCTGAAATGACCTCCTCCTCCACTCCCACTACTCACCTCCCTGGCTTCCTTTAAGTCCCGACTAAACGCCCACCTTCTCCGGGAAGCCTGCCCCAACCCCTCTTCATTCCAATGCTCTTCCTCTGTTCTTACTTTCCTATTTATTCTGTATAGAGCTTGCTTTGTCTGTATCTGTTGGCATGTCGTCTTCCCCATTAGACTGTAAGCTCCTAGAAGGCAGGGACTTCTTTGGCCTCTTTTTGTATCCCAAGGGTTTACTACAGGGCTTAATCAATGTTTGCTGATGGATTAGTGTGGTCTCAAATACTCCTAAACATCAGCCTATACTCAGCCACATTTTCAGGCCATCCACAGCCTACCAAGACTCCCCTCGGGGCAGACGGAGTCACAGAAGACAACTGCACTTACCCAGGGAAACCAGGTTCTCGTAGTTTTCCAACATCACATCCCTGTACAGGGCCTTCTGAGCATCATCTAGGCGCTTCCACTCATCCCGGCTAAAGTCCACGGCCACGTCCTGGAACGTCACTGATACCTGAACCACAAACATTCCTGCTTTAGCCAGGAATCACCTCTCCGGATACTTCCCAATGACTGCTTCCTCAGTGCCTCATTTGGTGTCTTCCCCAACTGCTCAGCTCAGCCTGACTAATCCTCTGGACATGTGAACCCCGTTCCTCCTAAAGCTCCAAACCACACAGCAGCATGGCCTCCATCAAACAATCAGATCCACAGTGCTGACATAAGAAATCAAACTACAAATATCAATAGCTGGCTCATGACATTATAACCCTCGGTGACCAATGTGTTATCTCAGGAGGCAGGATCCCACAAGGGGCATAATATTCTAGGAGTCGTTTTCATTTCTAGTCGTTAATGGAAGTCATTGGTTGTAAGGCACTGACTCCTTCACATTGTAGAGACCTAGAATAAAATTCTACCCTCTATGTTATCATAGCATTAACTACTGAAAAGATAAAATATGAATATGATCTCTAGTTCCTACTGTATGGATTCTACAATGTAACTGATTTTATACTGTATTGATTTTTATAATTGAGTCTGCATCTACCTAAAGCTCCCTCTCCATGTCCTTGAGTTGAGCTCAGGAATTTCGTTTTCCCTCTGATTTAGTGTAAAGTTAGTTTTTTAAAAAATCTGTTATCTCTTCTACTGGTACCACTCCCTACCCTTCACCCTAGGATGCTTTCTGGTCATGTTGGTTAAGCCTAACAAGTTAACTTGTTACCACCCCAAAAAGACAGTGGTCGGAGGTAGTCCTAGTAGCCTGTCTCTGTGTGATGAGGGGAGTTTTTATCTCTAGCAAGGAGACGGCAAGCCTGGTAGTTGTGAGCCCCTAGCAAAGACCACAAGATGCAGACAGGTCCCAGAAATCAATCAAGCATTTCTCGATGACAGAGAAGGGTGGTTTGTAGTCCCACATGGGGGCTAGTCAACCTTCCTTTATGTAACCAATCATGGGGTCTTCCCCACCTTCCTAATCCTGTTCCTGGTTCTCTTGTACTCCCCCAAACTACATGATGACTGGTGGGCCCTCGCTCATGGTCTCTGGTCACTAAGAGGCCATAGACTCAAGGCATTGTCTAATATTAGCCTGATGACTAAATTGGCCACCCCTAGACAATTACCAACACGCTGGCCATTCCTGGACCAGGTGCAGAAACCACAGCTTTGGTTTTTCCTTCGGTAATTAGACCAAATTCTTGAATGCTTATGGGTGTCTTTTGGGCCGCTCTCCAATATGGTGGATCTGATGGAACTAGGTGGGAACAATGACAAGTCCAGACAGGAGCATCAGAAAATCTAGCGGAGTGCCCCGTCATCCTCCAGGACAGCAGGAAGCATGGGCTTCCTGGTTGAAGCTGACTTTGATAGAACAAATTATCTCTGTGGTCAGTGACGCCAAGTAATTTTGCATGGCCTTAGCATAATGAGCATGGAACAGTCATGTTGGATTGGGAGAAGCCCTTTGGTGCTAGGTTTTCCTAGGTATAACCAAACGCTTTTTAAAAAAATAATCAACAATCAATAAAGCCTATTGGGGGGGGTTCTATTATCTTCACTTTGCACTCAACTGTCTGTCAAGTTGTGTTAGGCTGCAGAATACTGTTGGCAAAGACTGCTGATTTCCTTCTCATTTCATCCAAGGTGCTCTCATTACAAGGAAAAGTTTTTGTAGGGGTACCTAGGTGGCAGCTGGAGTCAGGAGGATCTCAGTTCAAATCCAGCCTCAGACACTTACTAGCTGTGTGACCTTGGAGAAGTCACTTAACACCTCTCCTCACCCCCCCTCCCATGAGAAGTTTTTGTAGCAAGGGGAAAGTAGTTGCAGGGGTCCTTAGTTATTGGTGGATTTTTGTCCGCAGAACAAATAACACCTCATGATTTTTTTCTGAACAGCTAGAAAATGTTCTGGGGAATTCTCAAAACTGAGCCGAGTCTATCATAGCCCTCCTGCCTGAGCTGGTGTGCTTGGAGTTGCTCTGTTTTATTCGGTGGTTCTGTTTCTCCCTGGAGCTCATAAGAAGTTCATTCCAGTTTCACCCACAAATGTTCTCTGGATGACCTGGTTTAACTGCCTCTCATACCGAGCTTTACTCAAATCTCTTTTTCTCTCCCTTACTTATTGCTAATAATTATAGAATGAAAGAGGGGGAGGGACTGTCCCCCTAAATGGTCGCCTCCGGACTCTGTCTGCTTTTCCTTCCTGCTCCAGAACGACCCAGGGGCCAAACACGTAAGGAAGCCTCCTGCTCGTCTTGATACTCTGTCTCCTCACCTCTGCTCCATCTTCTACCGCAATCTCCCGACCTCCACCCCTACTCAGACGGAGTCGCCCCTCTTACCTGGGGCTGGGGGGACCCTAAGCTCCTGGGGGGCAGGGAGTGGTTTACTCTTATTGACCTCTATAACCCTAGTCCGTTTGGAGTAGGAAGAGTTTGATGACGTTTGAAACGAATGTTCTGGTTAAATTGAAGACTACAGTTCCTAAGAGTCGGGAAGGACCTTCCTGGTCCAAGTTCAACGGCTTAGACTAAGGACGGCATAGAATGACGTGGCTCTAATGACCGTGAACTCGGGGTCTGCAAGCGGCCGCCAAAAGTCTGCGGCGCCAGCAGATGTGGGGCTGGGCAGGGGGCTGAGCCCGGGACGGCCATGTGACTTCACCTGAAACTCCTTAGGGACCAGAGGCTCCTTGTCCTTCCTTCGCCGCCGCCTCCTCCTCCCTCCCTCCGGAGGCGGCTCCCCTGGAGAGGGAGAAACAAGTCACTCTGGCTGGCAGCGGCAGCTGCCTCCCAAGCAGGGGTCCCACCCCCTCCAGCCTCTCTTGTGTGCGCCTCCCAGAAGGAAGTGGGGGGGAGGGTGCTGCAAATGCGCACAGCTGCCAGGCACACAGTAGGGGCTTAGTACCTGCTGTTGCAATGGGAACAGCCCACTGTGAATGCGGAGAGGAGAGCGACAGGGACGGGTAGACCGCGGCGGACCCGCCGCTGACGCTGCCCGCCACCTCCGCCGCTGCCGCCAGACGGACCCTCGTCCTGTCCCCTCCCAAGCCTCACCTCTCATCCCCATGCTCACTTCTTGTACCCCCACCGCTCACCCCGCGCCCCCCCCAAGCTCATGTCTCGTCACCCCCCAGTGCTCACCTCTCCTCCCTCAGGCTCACTTCTCCCGTTGTCTGGCCCATTCTCACGTCTCCCTAACACTCACCTCTCGTCCCCACAATGCTCACGTCTGCCTAACACTCACCCCTCGTCCCCCCCATGCTCACGTCTCCCTAACACCCCTCGTCCCCCCCATGCTCACGTCTCCCTAACACTCACCCCTCGTCCCCCCATGCTCACGTCTCCCTAACACCCCTCGTCCCCCCCATGCTCACGTCTCCCTAACACTCACCCCTCGTCCCCCCCCCAACATTCACATCTTCCCCAGTGCTCACCTCCCACCTCCAGCCTTCGGTCCGCGTCCTCCATGGTCCTCAGGTCTGCCTGGGCCACCCCTCTTCTTCTCCCAGCAGGGGGGGAGCCTCCTGGAGAGCCGGGCGGGACCTGGGGGCTCAAAGGCAGGATGTCTGTCCCGGCCCCGCCCCCACCCGGTACCTTTTGGCCTCGGGGCACCTTGCCCCCCCTCCCCCAGCCCCCCAGCAGGCACGGCTGTCACTCGGGCTGCCCGAGGGTGCAGAAAGAATGAATGACATGCCAGGGCTCCGGGAGGGGGCATCAGGCCGTGGCACCCCTCCTTCCCTCTGCCCTGCCCCCCCGTGCCTCCCCACACGCACGTCTGCACTCCCCCACTTACACGCGCATGGACCCCAGACCCACACTCAGACACACACTGCGCCCCCTCGCACAAATGCCCTTCAGTACCCTTGACACCAACGCCGGCTGCTGCGGACGTGCCCCAGGCTATGCGGCAGCTGTTGCTTTGCGCCTGCGCACTCACTCTCGCTCCCTTGCTCCCCCCTAGCTGCCCAGGCTGGCTTGGCCCCTGCGGCCTCAGAGGCCTCTGCAAGCAGCAGCCCGGGTGGCCTGGCGCAGGCGCGCTGACTCCCTCAGTCTCTCCCGCCCCCAACAGGCTTCAAGTTCAAGCCCGGAAAAGCCATTCCCGCAATAGAGCGCCCGGGGCCTAGCGTCCAGAAGACCTGAGTTCAAATTCGGCTCCAACACTTACTAGCTCTGTGACCCTGTTTGTATCAGTTTCCTCATCTGCAAAATGAACTGAGAAGGAAACGACAAAGCACCAAATGGGGTCTCGAAGAGTCAGATATAGCTGAACCGACAGAACAACACAACACGTGACACTCTCAGCACTGACACCCAGACTGCCATTTGTGTTGACAGACCCGATGGAGTGGGCCCTGGCTGGCCTGCACTGCGCACGCGCGATGCCACGTGGACTACTACAATCCCCAGAAGGCTTTGCGGCCTCTCTCTCTCTCTCTCTCTCTCTCTCTCTCTCTCTCTCTCTCTCTCTCCCCCCCCCCCCCCCCCCGGGAAGGCTAGCACCTGCGCACTGGTGAGGGTGTGACTCATGAGCCGCTGTCCTCGCCAAGCTGGTGCCGTGGGAGACGGTGCGCTGGGAGGAAGGCCGGACAGGCAGCCTGCTAGGCAGGCTCATTGGGGTGACCAGGACGGAACACGAGCCCCTCGTTTCTGGGTGAATCCAGAGCTGTCCTCGGGAGAAATCCCTTCGAGGGCACATCAGCGAAACGGAAAACGAGTATGAATGTTGCGGTTAACGAAGTGAATGTGCCATTTAAACACGGAAGCGAACTCAGTGAGCACGGAGGAACGTCTGAAAACGAGAGAAAAAAATTGGGGACGGAAGACCTAGAACTGACAGAGGTAAAAGCTGTTCTTGAAAAGGCCAGCAGAATCAATAACGCCTCATGGACGCAGGACGAAAACGAGAGGCACTTTAGGAGGCTACCAGGGAGAAGACGTCTCAGTCTGGAGGATGGGTGCGCCTCCAGCCTCCCCCTTCCGCCTCCTCCCAAGAACGGGGGGGGAGGGGCGCGCCCTCATCCCGCCCCCTGCCCCCCTTCGCTGTCCCTGGTAGGGAAGCGCTCTGAGAAGCCGCCGCCACCCCGGTCACCATCTTGCTTAAGACGTGGATGAAGCCAAGAGTCTTGGGAAGAGCCTGTTCCCCAAGCCACCGACCAAGCCCCACGGCCATCACTGCCGGCCCCCACTGCAGAGCGGGCCGCTGGCCAGTATAAGCGCAGGCAACACCACCGGTCCAGCGTCCGGCCCACTCAAGGCCACAGTCTGGGGAGAGTCCGGGAGCCCGCTCTGCCTCTGGGAGGGGCCGAGCCCTCAGCCCGGGGACCGCTATCTCCCTCCGACCCCATGGAGAGAGCTGGAGCCTTGGGCGTGGCCAGGCTTCCCATCTGTGGAAGGGAGGAGGTTTTCACAGTAGAGTGGGCTAAGGTAGCAGAGAGGGGTAGAGCGAGTCTGCTTGAAGAGCAGGGTTAGACAGAGAGGGAGATGGGAGGGTCCCCAGGCATCCACCCAGAGCAGGAGACGGAAAAACTGTCTTCACTACCTGAAAAGGGTGGAGACAGTGCTTAACAACCAAGGAACTGGGGGTCACTGGCACAGAACCCTGGAGAAGACGAGTTCCAGTATGCGATGAACGAAATCAATGCAAGAGACCCCCCCAAAGAAAGAGGGGGGACAGCGATGAATGCAAGCAGAGACTCAAAAGGAAAAGTGGATTTTCCGCAAGGACCACCCGGATACTTAAAAAAAAATGAAGCAAGAGAGACAAATGCAATTCAATAAGCATTCATTAAGCATGTGCTCGGTACCAGGCACTGTGCTGGGTTAGGGGAGCATCTTGGAAGGAGAATAAGGAGCTTGGAGGAGAAGGTGGTAAAAACCTACTGAGTAATGGACTCCCTGAAAACTAGAACAGACCGACCAAACCCAATGACTACATGAAACAGCAAGAAATATTAGAATAAAGTTAAAAGACTGAAAAAATAGAAGAAAATTAAGGTATCTATGTATGTGTGTATATGTACCTATACATATAGGTACATATACATATATACATACATACCGATATATATGTTGACTTGAAAGACAGGTCAAGGAGATGTTGCAAATAAAATTCTGAGACAAAGTTTCCAGGTATTAAAAATCACTTTATTAATTAGGCCAGCCAATAATCAATAACTTGATGGTCAATGATTTCTCTCTATAATCAAAGATGAAAAGGGAGTCTCTGAGCCACCTTGAATGCCCTTCTGTCTTCCAGAGGGCACATTATTGGGACCTCCCCTGACAAAAAAGCCACCCTGGCAATGTAATGAAGAGGTGGGCTAAGAGTCCTCAGCCCCTCCCAGCTGAAGAATGAAGCCTGGTCATGAGTTTTGAGGCCCCTCTAGAACTCTGGGTACTTGGTCAGGTTCTCTCTGGTTTTATTTCTTCTTCATGAGTCAGACTGCCCCAAACCCTAATGAAGGGACCGAGGACACACGAATCTCTCTGGGTGGTAGCATCCACCAGCTCAGTGTGGCTTCTGTTTACAGAGAGCCCAGCCCAAATTAGTTAACAAGCAGATGGTTTGAGGGCTAGGAGTTACATTACTCAGTAATGCCCTACAGAGACTGACTGGCCTTTTCAGGAGTGGGGTCTTGGTAAAAATCAAAGGTAAAAGGATAGATCACAAATTAATAACTGATTATTAATACAACAGCATTATATTCATTTCCCTCAGGAAGATGCTTTAAGAATAATTGAAAACCCTTAACACTATGATTTACAAAAATCCTGGGCACTGTTTTTAAAAATCATAAATGAAAACTGCCCAGTTCTACTAGAACCAGAGGGCAAAATGAAGGTAGAAAGAACCTAACAATTACCTCCTTTTCGAAAAGAACTCCAAAAGGAAAAGCCCCAGAAATGTCATAGCCAAAATCCTGAATTTCAATATCAAAGAAGAAAGATTGCAAACATTCTGAAATGCACAGCTCCAAGTACCAAGGAGTCAGAGCTAGGATCACATACACCTGGCAGTTATTACTACAATGGGTGGAGATGATTGGAATATAGTATTTCAGATTACAATGAAGAAAAACGTGCCCCACAAAGTTGAGTATAATCCGTGTGTGTGAGGGCACGTGTGTGTGTGTGTGTGTGTGTGTGTGTGTGTGTGCGTGTGTGTGTGACAGAGAGAGAGAGAGAGAGAGAGAGAGAGAGAGAAAAGGCCTCTTTAATGGAATAAGGGTTCTCTCTAGCATCACTGATGAATAGACAGGAGCTTTGAAATGCTAAGACGAGAGTCCAAACAGACCCAGAAAGGCAAACTTACTTGGGCACCCAGGAGTTTAAGATGTGATAATTTTCACAGTAGGAAAAGAAACAAATAAAATATCCCTTCAGAAACTTCATGTTGTCAAAGGGAAATAAATAAAAGAAAGGGGAGGGGAGGTGGCATGGGGGGTTGGATCTGTTCTAAGGGCCTGAAGAGGGCCAAGAGAAGCGACCTTAGAGGAGGAATACTTTTCGTGGAAAGGAGAAAGAAGGGGATAGGACTCGGCATTTCCCATAACTGTGGGGTTGAGAAGTGTGTAGAAACATGGAAGAAGGGGTGGAAGCAGGCATCAGATAAGCCTCATTTATCTGACCCAACAAAGGAGGGCTGTGCACTCACACACCCCAGTCTGGTATAGAAACACCAACAGGGAAATAAATAGGAATGGGGAGGGGCATGCTTAAGACAATACCAGGGAGGGAACAGTCACAAATAAAACTCCTGATGGTGGAATTAAAGGGGGTAGAGAGGGCAGAGAAAAAGAGCTAGGATCTAAGGAGGTGCCTCTGAGACAGCTGGGCAGTGGCTGAACTGAAGATGAACGTGATGGAGTATCACCGTGCCATGAGGAATGATGAGAGAAGCGATTTTAGAGGATCCTGGGTGGCACGGACAGGGAGTGCAGTGAGCAGAAACAGGAAAACAATTCACACGTGGACAGCAACGCACAGAGACTCAAACTCCCACGTTGAGATGAATGGTGGGAAGCCTGTCACAACCTCCTCATGAGATGAACAAGAGGACTGTGGCCGTGGCCGTGTGGATTCATTCTGCCTGACTGTCCTTGCTGATTGCAAATTTGTGTTTTTCCCTCTGTTTTAAATTGGGAGTGAGGACAGGAAGGAAGAGTCACAATAAGGCTGTCTGGGTGTTTTTCAGCCGTGTCCAACTTCTCATGGCCCTATTTGGGGTTTTCTTGGCAAAGATACTGGAGTGGTTGGCCATTTCTTCTCCAGCTTGTTCTTACAGATGAGGAAACTAAGGCAAACAGGGTTACATGATTTGCCCAGGGTCACCCACATAGCTAAGGATCGGAGGCTGGATTTGAACCCAGGTCTTCATGACTCCCGCCTGGTACTCTATCCATTGGACCACTGAGCTGTCCCAAACATTCCCCTGTTGCTGTTGCCGCTCAGTCATTTCAGTCCCATCGGACTCTCCATGGCCCCATTTGGGGTTTTCTTGGCAAAGATATTGGCATGGTTTGCCATCTCCTTCTCCAGCTCATCTTCCAGATGAGGAAACGGAGGCTTAAGTGACTCGCCCAGGGTCACACATCTAAGTGTCTGAAGCTGAATTTGAACTCCCCAAGATGAATCTTCCTGACTCAAGGCCTGGAGCTCTACCCACTGTACCACCCAGCTGCCCTAGCAATAATATCTCCTCCCAAAAAGAGCGCTATTGTCTAACTTTTTAAAAAATGCAGAGAAGAAAACAGAAGGAAATTCCAGCTTACTCCACTCTCCAGTGACTGCTCTGCTCAGTCTGAAGTCCACGAAAGAAGATGTTGCTCCCAGGAGAAGCAGATCAACTCAAACCTCCTCCTCGCCATGCTGTCGGATGCCGCCTTAGACACTCAACATCTTCCCAATGCCCTTGGCCTCCTCTCCCGGCTGACTGGAGGCTGGACAGGGGGGCGCCCCGCTGCCTCAAAGCTGTCCTGTAGAGAGCCAAGACCTGGGCATTGCTGCTTACCGCAGGCCACATCTGCAGCTCTGCTGCCTGACCTGGCTCTCTCCCAGTAACCTCCCCTTCCAGCCTTCTCTGGGCAAGCCCTGCCCAGAAGCTACCGCGGTGTCTGACACATAGCAGGTGCTTAACGAACGTCTATGGAATTGGACTGAACTCAGAAGGAAGCACAAGTAGGCAGGACAGTTTTGAAAATAACTTGCAGAAGTTATTTTATATATATGTGTGTATGTGTGTGCACGTGTGTGCGTGCACATGTATGTATGTATATAGCCCAGTGTGACCTAGCTCAGTGTTTGGGAGGCTCCAAAGGAAAGTATGGGAGAGAAGAGGTATTAGACTGACTACCAAACTGAGGGTGTACAGAGCCGTTGTGCTGACCTCGTTGTTGTATGCCTGTGAAACCTGCACAGCCTACCAGCTCCAGGCCAGGACATGGAATCGCTTCCACTGGAATTGTCTTAGGAAGATTCTGAGGATCACCCGGCAGGAGAAGGCACCAGACAGTAAGGTCCTTTCACAAACTATACTGCCAAGCATTCAGACTCCGCTGCAGAGAGCAGAACTCCAATGGGCTGTTCGAATGTAAAATGGTCGCTCGTCAAAAAGACTGTCTTAAGGAGAACTCACACAGGGCAAGCGTTCACATGGTGGTCAGAAGAAGCGATACAAGGACACTCTCAAGGTCTCTCAAGAATTCTGGAAATGATTATGTGACATGGGAGACACTGGTACGGGACCGCCCAGCATGGCGTGCCCCTATCAGAGAAGGTGCTATGCCCTGAGCAAAGCAGAACTGAAAAAGCTCAAAAGAAATACGAACTGCACAGATTTAGAGAACCCATCCCAAATGTTCACATGGACAATCTGTGCCCGACCTGTGGCAGAGCCTGCCAAGCTCACATTGGTCTGATCAGCCACAGTCGGACACACTGTGACCTGACTCTAGCGTACTGACGTCATTTGGGCCCTCTTTGAGAACAATATATAGCTCACTGCTTTCTAAAGAATCTTCTCATGTCTGCTGTATGTATGAAATGTTCTTTTTTGGTGTTTCAGTTCAAAATGTAAAAAACCATATGGCCTGGAAGAATATTTGCAGAGCTGTAGATTATGGAGATAGTAAGATCAAGGGGATGAACATGGCCATGTGTGGCCCATGGCTGAAATGATGTTACAGGTCATGGAGACCAAAGACATTGGTGAACAGGGGACTGAGGACGTCTGCAGAGATCTCACTGTGGGTCCTTCGCCTGCTCATTCACTCCACGTCCAGTCAGCTGCTGAATCTTGCCGTGTCTATATCCACAACAGCTCTTACTTATGTCTCTTCCTCTCCACTCACAAAGCCATTACCATCCTCTCTCACTGGGAATACTACTTGTTTTCCCTGCCTCAGACCTCTCCCATTCCAGTCCATCCTCCACACAGCTACTAAACTGATTTTCCTGCAAGAAAGATCTGATCATATGTGGGCCACAAAATTCAGTCTGTAACCAACATCACTGAGGCAGAGCTCTGAGCATGACTGATCAATTTATTAAGGAGACCGATGATCCCTAAGCAATTGGGCCCAAGATCTTCCTCAAAGAACTCAGTGCCCACGGGCTGAGGGGTTCTATAGACCTTGGGGAGTCCCTGGGAGGTCCCCTAGTCCTTGGGACATCTCTTCAGAAGCAAAGAAACTCTTACAATGGTCTAATCTTCAGAAGCAGGGGCATTCCTATGATTGGTTAAGGGCACTGCCCATCAATCAATCATAACTCCTCTATCAGAGGCAGTTGGGGACCCACTCCAAAAGCCCCAAGACCCATCAGCAAGGCTCTGGGCCATTCGCTTATCAGCAGTGTTCTAGGGTTCAAGAACACTGAGAGGAGGGTTTTCCAAAGGCTACCAAACACTAGTGTTTGCCAACAGTTTCCTAAGGGACCAAGAAAGTTGTGGTTTTAAAGCAAAAGTCACTTAGGAATGGCAGCAGTGATTCATAGGTGGGAAGGGGTATTACTGAGGCTTAGGAACCTTATTTCAAGCAGAGCACACTTGGTAAGGAGGGGTGGGTGGTGGTGGTGGTGGTGGTGTAAATACCAATAAATTCATATAATAGGCCTAAACTAATACAGTATGACTCTATCTGATAAATCCAATCCAATTCATATATTTATCAATACATGGTGGATTAATTGTAGCCTACATAACTCATTCCTACAACGTAAACTAAATCAAACTTAACTCCACTCCACTTTCAATTACTGATACCATTAAATCACAATGACCTGAGTAAATACCTGATTAAAGTGAGTAGGGGTATCAAAATTAGTCCCTGCCTCCCTCCAACAAACCCCAGTGATTCTCTGGGGCTTTAGGGCCAAAGAGATGTTTGTTTGGTATTAGAATACTCCACAAGCTCATCCCTTCCTAACTCTCCAGACTTATCACACAATTTACTCTGTCCTTACAGTCTGTGATCCCGCCTTCAAACTCCTTTCTCTGATCCTTGGCATGGGCCATCGCTCAGGAGAAAACATGTCCTTCCTTCAGCTCACGGACCCCCAGGCACCTCTCAAGAGTCAGCTCATTGCCAGGTGCCATCCTCTACACCTTTGCTGGTCGCCCAAGCTGCTGAAACACCCCCCACCCCAAACACCTTTTATTTATTTTGTATTTATGTTGTATGTAGCATAGATGAAGGACTTGGGGGGCAGCTCTCACACATCTGGCTGGTTAACTGTATCAGCTGATAATCGATGGGGGAGCACATTGGTGGGGCCTGTGAACAAAGGCATCTGAGAAATCACTCCCTAAACCCACCAAGTTACCCTAGCAACTTTAGGGAAGTAGTAGTTGTTCTCTGGGGACCCAATTTGTCAGCACTTGTGGGAAGCCCAGGGCCTGCATGGTCATCATTGAATCAGTCTCCATGTTTTATCTGGTTTCTCCGATTCTATACTTCTCATCATTTCTTACAGCACAATAATATTTCATGACTTGGGGAGTCATATGCCTAGTAGTGCTTTCACTGAGTCAAAGGATAGTTGCAACTTAATGACTTGGGTGGGGGAACTGGTCCAAAAAGCTTTTCCAGAATGGTTGGACTAATTCATGGTTCCACCAACGGAGCAGGAGCATGTCTGTCTTCCAACAGCTCCTGTAATCTTCCTTCTATGTCATCTTTACCAAGCTGACCCCTCAGTGGTTTTAATTTGCCATGAGTCCCTCACCCATCTTTCAGGCACTGAGCAGCAGCTGGGCAATCAGGAACAGCCCGAGTTTCCTCTTACAGAAAGGGCCTTTGAGGCAACAGGAAGGAGAGGATTCATTCCAGGCATGTGGGATGACCAGTATAAAGGCAAAGGGGGAGGGGAGGCAGGAAAAGAGAGGGATGGATCGTCCTGTGTGAGGAACGAAGCAAAGGTCAACTGACCGAATCATAAGAGTACAAGAGGGGAATAACGTCCACTGAAACTGTAGAGAGAAATCATAGCCAGGTCAGGTAGGGCTTCCGAAGCTAAATCGCTGCTATTTTATCGTAGGGGCAGAAGAAAGCGTTAGAGTTGAATGAGCAGAGTGCCATGGTCAGATCTGTGCTCAGTAAAATTACTCTGGCAAGCAGCATGTAGAACAGACTGGAGGGCCGAGAGCCTTGAGATAGGGAGCCCCATTCAAAGGCTGTTTCAACAATTTAATTTTGAGATGATGAGGGCCAAAGCAGAGAGACAGAGATGGATTCCAAAGTGCTGTGAAGGTAGAAAGGGCAAATTTTACAACTAACTGGATATGTGAGGTGAGGCGGAGGGAGGAGTCCAGGATCATGAGAAGGGTATAAACCTGGAAAAATGAGAGGATGATGGGGCCTTTGACTGAAAGGGGGAAGTCTGGAAGGGAGGAAGATTTGGGGGGGAAAGATAAGGAGCTGGTTTTGAACACTGTTGAGTTTAAGATACCTATCTATCAACACACACACACACACACACACACACACACACACACACCCCATCTATGAAATCCCTGGATGTCGTTTGCATACAGATGATAATTAAAACCATGGAAGAATGACAAGAACAAGGATGATGATCACTAACTACTACCACCATCCCTCCTGCTACCAATGAACCCTTGAAGGTTTGCCAAAGGCCTTACTGGCAGCCATTACCACCAAATGGCACGGATGCCATGGTGGTGCTTCACATCTCATCCAGCCATCAGTCCCTGCTTCTCCTTGTCTCCACTTGGAACAGCATCGTCCGAGCCGTTCCTCCAGAAACCATGAGCACAGCACCTAGGGAAGCCAATATACTCTGATTCAGGACTCTTGTCATCCCAGGGCTGGGGTTTGTGGTCATTTTTTTAAGTTGGCGAGTGTCTACTAGCTAGGTGACCCCTGACGAGAACATGCTTCTCATCTCATCCAGCCTAGCAACCCAGCCATCCTTACATAGGGCCTGCATCTCTCCACCTGGAACACTAACTTTTCTCTTGAGTATGAGTCCTGGGATGGGCTGAAGCCTTTTCCATATTCACAACACTTTACAGCATTTCTCTCCAACATGAATGCTGTGGTGATAAATGAGGCAGACATCTGGCTAAATGGTTTCTTTTTTTCCATTACAATTTTATTATTATCTTAAACATAAAGATATATACAACAGAAAAAAAGGATTGCATATAAAATTGTGAACCTTTATTATTTTGTTCAAGTGTTACTAAATTTATTACAATACTACATATACAAAGGACAAAAAAGAAGGCTGTATTTCAAACTGAATTTCTATTATGTGCAGTTTAAGCAAATAGTAAATTTAACACAAGAGAAACAAATAATCCTTGCTTGTCTGAAACTTTTTCTGCTCTCTTTTCTGCATTTTTAAATATTTCACTGACAAGGTTTTTTAAGCATCACTATTACTACTAGCCACAAGGCAGCTAGGTGGCACAATGGATAGAGTGCTGGGCCTGGAGTTATCTTCTTGAGTTCAAATCTGGCCTCAGACACTTGCTAGCTAGGTGATCTTGGGCAAGTCACATAACCCTGTTTGCCTCGGTGCTCACTGGAGAAAGAAATGGCAAACCACTCCAGTATCTCTGCCAAGAAAACACCAAATAGGTTCACAAAGAGTTGAACACAACTGAATAACAACAATTCCTAGCCTCTCGATCTGCCCTGATAACTCCCCCTACTCCAACCTAAAGCCCTCTCTGGTAATAAGCATAGTTAAACAAAACAAAGTGCCCTTGGCTATGTCTGAAAATCTATTTCCTATACTGAATGCACAATCAGTGACTTCACTGCCAATTCGTCTTGTGATAACTGCTTACAACTGAATCAATGTAAATTATCATTTCATTGATTAGATTTCTAAAAATTTCAAGGTTGTTTTACATTACTGTAGTCATTACATAAGGTGTTTTACTGGTGCTGGAGGTTTAAATGCATAAATATACATAAAATATTCAAATAGTTTCTCTCCCCTATGAATTCTCTGATTTCTAATAAGCCTGTTTTCTCCCTGAAGCCTTCCCAATATCCACTTTCTCCTCTAAACTAAATTTTCTGTTAGGTTTATAAGGTTTGTCCTCTGTTTGAATTGTTGCCCACATTAAATATATTCAAAGAGTTCTCTCCAGTGTGATTTGACTCATGGCTAATAAGGGTTCCCCACTGATTAATGGCTATTCCATTTTCATTATATTCAAAAGATTTCCCTGTAGTATGAGTTCTCTGATGTCTATTAAAGGACCTCCTCTCTACGAAGGCTTTCCCACATTCATTACACTCAAAAGATTTCTCTCCAGTATGAGTTCTCTGATGTCTAATAAGGTGTCCCTTCTCACTAAAGGCTTTTCCACATTCATTACATTCAAAAGGTTTCTCACCAGTATGAATTCTATGATGGGTAATGAGGTTTACTCTCTGTCTGAATCCTTTCCCACATTCATGACATTCAAAGGGTTTCTCTCCAGTATGAGTCCTCTGATGTTTATTAAATGATCCCCATTCACTGAAGGCTTTCCCACATTCATGACATTCAAAGGGTTTCTCTCCAGTATGAGTTCTCATATGGGTAATAAGGCTAGCCCTCCAACTAAAGCCTTTCCCACATTCTTGACATTCAAAAGGTTTCTCTCCAGTGTGAGTTCTCTGATGGCTTTTGAGAACATTACCATCACTGAAAGCCTTTCCACATTGATTACATTCAAATGGTTTCAATCCAGTATGAGTTCTTTGATGTGTTTTGAGAATATTACTCTTACTAAAAGCTTTCCCACATTGACTGCATTCAAAAGGTTTCTCTCCAGTATGAGTTCTCTGATGTGTAGTAAGGTTTGCCCTCTGTCTGAAGCCTTTCCCACATTCACTACATTCAAAGGGTTTCTCTCCAGTGTGAGTTCTCTGATGGGCAATAAGGCTTGCTCTCCAGCTGAAGCCTTTGCCACATTCCTGACATTCAAAGGGCTTCTCTCCAGTATGAGTTCTCTGATGGCTAATAAGTGTTCCTTTCTGACTGAAACCTTTGCCACATTCCTGACATTCAAAGGGTTTTTCTCCAGTATGAGTTCTCTGATGGCTTTTGAGGACATTATTGTCACTGAAGGCCTTCCCACATTCATTACATTCAAAGGGTTTCACTCCTGTATGAGTTCTCTGGTGGATTCTGAGTACTTTACGTTCACTGAAAGCTTTTCCACATTCATGACATTCAAAGGGCTTTTCACCTGTATGATTTCTCTGATGTGTTTTGAGTCCATTACTTGAAGTGAAGGCTTTTCCACATTCATGACATTCAAAGGGTTTTTCTCCAGTATGAGTTCTCTGATGGCTAATGAGAGTCCCCCTCTGGCTGAATCCCTTCCCACATTCATTACATTCAAAAGGTTTCTCACCAGTATGAGTTCTAAGATGTCTATTAAAAGATCCCCATTCACTGAAGGCTTTCCCACATTCATGACATTCAAAGGGTTTCTCTCCAGTATGAGTTCTCTGATGGCTAATGAGAGTTCCCCTCTGGCTAAAGCCTTTCCCACATTCTTTACATTCAAATGGTTTCTCTCCAGTGTGAGTTCTCTGATGAGTAATAAGGTTTCCTCTCTGGCTGAAGCCTTTCCCACACTCATTACATTCAAAAGGTTTCTCTCCAGTATGGATTCTGTGATGGTTTTCAAGTATTTTGTTATCATTGAAGACTTTCCCACATTCATTACATTCAAAGGACTTCTCTCTAATATTAATTTTCTTCATTTTAATCAATCTACTTTGGTGGCTAAAGATTTTCCCATATCTGTGACATTCATGTTTCTCTCCAATTCGAAGTTTCCGATACCCAGTAACACATGATCTTCTACCAAAGGTTTTTCCCTTTTCATTGTTCTCATGGAGCTTTTCTCCAGTATGTGTTCTATGAAATTTAATTAGGTCTGAGTGGTAACTAAAGGGCTTCTTGCATTTGTCATACTTAGAAAGGTTCTTCCCTAAGGAAAACGTACTGCAAATAAGTAGGTCAGAAAAATCCTTTACTTGCTTTTCAAGTGTCTCATATTTATGGAGACTTTTCTCCACAGGATTTCTCCAAGATGGAACAAAGATGGATGCCAGGTTACAATTTCCTCCCAAAGTTATATGATGTGGTCCAGTCATTTCATTAAAAGTTGTTCTCCGTGGGGCTGTTGTTAGTCTGGATTGTCTCTCCTGGTTGCCCCTCTGTATCTCTAAATTAATAGAACATTCCATTGGTTCCATTGATTCTGTTGTCCTGGAGTGCCAGGGAATATTCACTAGATGTCTCATCTTGGATGATTCCCTGACGTAAATGCATTTTATCAGACTTGCATCTTTGGTTTCAAACCTGGTCTCCTGACTAAGGGCATCTGAAAGAAATGTTTAAAAAGTTACTGGCCACTGTTGGCCATGTGAGAAAGGAAACTTCTTTAGAGTAAGTTCTAGTTTCCATCTCTTTCATCAAGAGAATAAGACACAGTTTGACCTACGTAGAACACTACTTAAAGGAATTAAAGCCAATGACTAGGGAAGATACTAAGACTACCAGGTTACTAAGTAATAAATTAATGACATCCAAGGGAACTAGAAACACTCACAAATATCCTAAGAAAACAACAATCATGGAAAGCAGAAATATCTTCTTTGGGGAAGTACATGGAAAACCATACAGGAAGAGGAAAAAGTAGGTTAGAAATGGGAGCTGGAAAACAACTTGCAATTTAGGCAGCTAAAATTGATGGACCTGGAAAACTGGGCAACTAGGAAAAATTTCAGAACTGCTGTTCTTCCCCCAAATTGTTAAAAAAAAAAATCTCTTTAATATATTTCAGAAAACTTTTTTTTAAAAATTCTCAAAATATTGAAAAAAAGACAAAAGACATTCACTGAATACCAAAAGCAGTAAACAACAAATTCAACTCAACCAGACACATTTTTGTCACTCTGCAAAAATATGACAAGAGACGATTTTAAAAGCAGCCATGATGAAAAGCATGACAAATCAGATAATAGCAATTTGACTTACAGGTGTTCTTCAAAAATAAGCACAGCACCCCCTACTGGCAACCCTGCCAACTTGAACTCAAAAGTTGGGCTTTGGAGGCATTACTATTCCAGGTTCAAGGTATTTTGTGTGTCTAGACTCCTAAAACTATATGATAGCTCATCAACCCCTACCAGTGTGCTTAAGTTTGATAATCAGCCAGATGACACAATAAACTTAAAGCAAAGGCATTCACTAAGGATGGCCTGATAACAACAGTAGCAATGAAACTTTTTACCCATAAATGAGAACATTTCTATTAAGATATACATCAGTGGTAAGAATGGGTGCATGCAAAACAATAGTCAATGCTGGAGAGGTTGTGAAAAGGCAAGTATACTAGCACATTGTTGGTAGACCTGTGAATCAGTACAACCATTTTGGAAAGCCAACTGAATTATTCGAGTAAATTAAATAAAATACCCATTCTCTCTGACCCAGAGATTTCATTATTAGGCTTATTCCGCAAGGAGGTCATTGATAAGAAAGGCCCCATATACACCAAAATATCTACAGCAGCATATTTTATAACAGTAAAGAACTGGAAGTAAATACTCATTGATTAGGAAAAGGCTAAGCAAACTGCAGTACATGAATATAATGTAATATTACTATGCTGTAAGAATGATGAATACGATAAAAATGAACTGATGCAGAGTGAAGGGAAGGACAAGAAAGCAATACACACAACAACAACAAGGCACACAGAAAGAACCACAAACACATCAAAAGTGAAAGTTGTAAAACTATAAAAAGCAAGCATGGCTCAAAAGAAGAGACATGAGAAGATGCCCCACCCATGCCCTGGCAGATGTGGGAGGCCAAAAGCTTTGTATGCGGAATATACTTTTGGATTTTTTTAATGTATAAACAAATTGCACTGATTTTTTTCCTCTTCTCTCTCTTTTTTTTTGGTCTTTATAAAGATACTGTAACACGAGATTGGCTCTCTGGGAGGGGAAAAGAGAGGGATATCGGGGGAAATTATGATGTAAAAAAAAAACCCCAAAAAACCTCAATAAAATCCTTAAAAAAAAAAAAAGACTGGGCAGATGCCTGAGTACATGAGGAGAGAATCCCCAAAGTTGGGACCAGGTGGGACTCAGCGCTGCAGGGGCCCTTCTGGGTCCTCTGTTCTTGCAGCATCCACATCGATTCCCACGGGGCGAAGCATCCCTACAGAGCCTGCTCTTCTTAGCCATTCCATCCAGCTCTACAACTGTACTCCCCAGGCGAGCCCTCCCTGCACACAGTATGGGCGTCAGGGGAAGCTGCTCCCAAGCAAGCCGCGCTGCTGATGGGGTGGGGGTGGGGGGACAGAGAAAGCCCCTCTTTCCAGAGTTGTGGAAAAGGCCAAGAGCAATTCTCTCTCCAAAAGCTGGGATCTTTTCCCACAACCGGCTCTTTTTGAGCCTGATTTTCTGAGGCTTGTCTGACCAGCTTGGTACCAAAGGGCATGAGACGGGGGAGACCACAAGAGCGGAAAACTGCATTTAACCTCAGACTATAGGATGTCTGGCCTGATTGGGCTGAATGGGATTTCTGTTGTCGTTCTTCTAAATTCTCCTCCTTCCAGGGAAGAGAAAGAAACAGACTGGAAATGTAGATAAGTCAAAACCAAAGATAGTGTAAGATTCTTTCACCTTACTTCTTTTCTTGACAGATACTAAATTTTAAATTACTCTACAACACAGAAGAAGAAACACACACCTCATTCCCTGAGACAGGGAAACAAGAGAGGAAAGAAAGAGCTCAGGGAACTGATGTGCTCAGGAGAGGCCACACACAGTCCGACACGGCAGAGGCATGGCTGCCTTACTGGGGAGCTGCTGCCTTGCTCAATGTGGAGACGACACCCACTCTCCTGCTTTTCACTTACTCACTTACCTGAGCAAGGGCTTTGGAGGCCTCCTCCCTCGAGCCACCAAGGGGCTTCCCCTCTCTCCAACAGGGAGATCACATCCAGTTTGGAAACAGGAAGTCCTACATATAGGCACAGAAATGATAAATTGCTGAAAAGGAAGCTTAGAAAGCTATCTAAGAATTCAGTTCTAGCTATGGAAAAGAAAGCAGCTAAGAGGCCTACAGGGTGATGCAAAGGACCCCTGAAGTGTATGCATGTGTTTGGTATTCTGAGGGTGTGTGACCTGCAGACCTACTTCACTGGACCCAATCCACACGTAGGGGCTAAGACCTTTTTTCCATGTATCTCAACTGGGATATGGGCATTTCAATCAACTGATGATGCTAGCCAAGCACCTAGGGTAGGCCAGGCCTGTGCTAGACATAAAAAGAAAAGGCATAAAAATCACTGTCCCAAAGGGAGCTGACATTCTGCTGAAGGAAAAAACACCTATACATATAAGTAGATATGAAATATATTGATAATCTGTACAAGTGTGTGGGGACGTCAAAGAAGGGATGACACTGAAGTCTTTTTACAATGAACAGGAGAAAGCAGAAGAAAATACAGCAAAACAGGATAGCTTTGAAAGCAACATCTTGAATTTACCATTGACATAAAAGGAAAAGCAAACGGTACATGCTATTCACAGGCTAATGTACAATCCTCTTTTCTAGGAGGAAAAGCAAAAGGGCCATTTCTGATGGCTGCAGAATGCCCAAAGGAGAGAAATGTGGATCAGTCTGGAAAGGTAGGAGCTGGACTGTGAGGGGCTCTGAATGCCAAGCAGAAGATCTAAGAGGTGACAGGGACCCACTGAAGTCCTGAAAAGCAGGACCTATGACCAATGGCCTGGAAGGGGAATTTCTTTTGTAATTCACCATGCTTTACTGAGTACTTTCTGTGTATAGAGAACCCTAAGAGGAAGATGAAACTTCATTAAGACAGGATTGTTTTCCTCTTGGGGCTTCCAGTCTAGGGAAAGGGAACTCCATACAAAGCAGAGTGCCACAGTACCCGCAGAAATCCCCAAGATTTCTTGGGGCAGGCCTCCTGGAGGAGACAGCCTCCGAACTCCTCTGGTATTTTAGCAAACATTCGTGGGAGCAGGGAAGCTGCAGCCTCAGGGCCAGTACAATGAAGCTATGGGACATTTTTCACCCAGGAAGAAGGAACAAAAACATTATCTCTACTGGCCATGAGGAGCAGGGATCCTTGGGCAGCTAGGTGGCATAATAGATACTACTCTTGCCTTGGAATCAGAAGGACCTGAGTTCAAATCTGGCCTCAGACACATAATACTTCCTAGCTGTGTGACCTGGGCAAGTCCCTTAACCCAGGTCACACTGCCTCACCAAAAAAAAAGGAGTAGGGATCCTCTGCCATGGGAGGGGCAGTCCTGAACATTCATGCACAACAGCCCAAACTCAGTGCAGCATTTCAGGTCACTCACAGTTAATTACAAGGAAGACCCAAAGACCAACCGCCAAGACTCCCCAGGAGACCAACGGTGTGCTTACCAAGGGAGACCAAGTTCTCATAGTTCTCCAACATCACGTCCCTGTACAGGGCCCTCTGGGCAGGATCCAGGCGTCTCCACTCCTCCCCGGTGAAGTCCACGGCCACGTCCTTGAAGGTCACAGATTCCTAAATCAAAAAATTCCTGTTTAGCTGTTTAGTTGTTGAACTCATGCCTCAAGACACACAAAGTTGTAGGCGATCAAGGAAAAGTTCCAGAGCCCTCAGAGTTCTGAGGATTCTACTTCAATGACTTTCTCCTTAGCTACTGCTCTGGGCCTCATTTTGTACTTAATCCGGCAGCACAGAAATCGTGTTCTTGATTGATGAATTTTACTTTGATGGAGCCTCTTAAGTGAACCCCAAGAAAACCATGCGTGTTTTTCCTAAGCTCTGAACAAACATCAGATGCACAACACTAACACCAGCAGTCCTGTTCCCAACATTAATCATCATTAATTTCTACTTAGCAACGCTTCAGCAACCACTTCCATACCGATCTCTATATTCTGGGGAGACTGACTAGGGAGGCAGGGTCCCACAAATGCTCTCTCAGGCTGGAAGGTCATTTTCAGCCACCATGAGTACTCTGCTCTCTCAGAGACGGCCACCTCCTCTATACTGTGGAGTCCTAGAATGAAGAGCCGGCTCTTACCCCACTTCACATAACGTTTATTAACCGCCTACAAAGCATATTACATCCTAAGGGAGATACTTGGACTACTAACACTTTAATGGATCCGTGACTTTTGTGATAAGGCTCATCTCTCCACAGATGACTTTGGCCATCAATGCCTCCTCAGCCTACATCCAGCCAGAAAACCTTGATAGCAGATCAAACCAAAGTGCCAGGACCTCCCTCCAAGTCTGTCATTATACAAGGGTTGCACACAGGTACCCTGGGCACTGTCTATCTCATCCCTTGTTCTGCATTTATAACTAATCTCACATGATGAGATAAGGCCTGTAAAACACAATGCGGGCACACAGGAGGCACCTTTCCTCTCTCCCCCCACCATTTTCTAGTCATATGTTTTTTATATTCTTGTGCACAATTCTTCACTGGAAATAGGCTGTGGGGGCAGCTAGGTGGCGCAGTGGATAGAGCACCGGCCCTAAAGTCAGGAGGACCCGAGTTCAAATATGGATTCAGACCAGACACTTGACATTTACTTAGCTGTGTGACCCTGGGCAAATCACATAACCCCAACTGCCTCACCCAAAAAAAAAAAAAAAGAAAAAGAAATAGGCTGTGCTCTGTTCACATGTGCCCTACTGTCCTTTTGTTGACCTAGTTCTGAGCGTTCATAAATGTTCTATGATACACTGCAACAATGCATCAACAGAAAAACAGTGGTGTCAAACAGCAGAATTTGTTTCAGGCAGAAATTGGAGTCGAGCTAGGCACTGCCCAATTCCCCACATGTGAAGTAGCCTGTTTTCTTCCAATCACTCTCCTCATTGGTCATTTATAGACCACATTCTGGACAACCAGCATTCTCTGCCACCTCGGTTTTTCTGTCAGGGCTACAAGAATCAAACTCTTCCAAATTCTCGAGGGTGTCTTTTCAGGGACTCTCTTCTTCAATGGGTGGAGGGAGAGAGAGAAGCTGGAACTGAAAATAAAAATAAAATCTGAACCAGGAGAGACTCTCCAGTGTATTGGGGCTGGACTGAACATGACAACAGCATACTCAAAGAAGACTATTAGAAGGCATTCTTGGGCCTCTGATGTGTTTGTTAGCGTCTGGAGTGTTTGCAAGCCAAGTATCTGCTCACATCAGTTTCTTGGTTTTGTTCTGTTTTCAGGATGTCTCAAACCCCAATCCTGCACTGAATATCTGTTTGTCTGTGTCAATAACGAGGCTCAGGTTTTCAGAGAAGCATCTCTGTGGCACTTTGAGCTCTTCTGCTTTTCAGACTACATCATTTTGTTACCTTCTGGAGCTTCTAGGGGATACAGAACAGTCTTGTGTTATCTGAACATCTCTCCTGAAGAAACAGCAGAAGCTTCTGGTGCAGCTAGTGCCCAGAAAGATGGGAGAACAGGGACTCAGTCAAAGGAAAGGAGAATGATCCTAGGGACAGCAAACAGTAGAGCCATACCAAAAGATGCGGGATGCAGTAACTCCTACCACTGGGCCTGGCTCCTATCTCTATTACTTCCCTTGTGAATTGATATTTCTGAGAACGAGGCAGAAAAAAAGATGATGGAGCAAGATCTGAAACATACAAATTGGTCAGAATCGACAGCTCAAATCTGGTACTTCAGAAGCTCTAACTGCATCAATAAATAAAAAGATCAAAGAAGAAGTAAATAAGGACAGAGTCCACGAATCAGAGAAGAAAAGTTCAGACTGGACAGAAAGTAAGAAAGATTAATGAGAACAAAGCAAAGAAATTCTTTTTAGAAAAAGGCACAAAGCCACCCTCCCCCAAAAGAAGTTGGAGGAAGGACTTCGAACTTTTTTTAAGCAATACTAGAGACATGAATGGAGAAAGACATAAACTTAACTGTCACAGCTTTAAATGTGAATTGATTAAACCAATAAAATGAAAGATAAATGGATAAAATAAATGAATAAGAAAAAAACTACCACAATTTGTGGCTTACACAAAACATACCTAAAAAAAGAAAAACAGAATCAAAACAAGCTAAAAAAATTAACTGTATCTATCATGTGAATTAGGAAAAAAAAAACAGGAGTTGCAATTATGCAACTGGGCAAAGCAAAAATAAAAATCCACAGCATCAACAGAGATAAACATGGAAATCATATTCTGCTTAAAGGAAGCATAGATGTAGAACAAGGGAAGGATTCTGGAGTCAGAGGACCTGGGTTCAAATCCTGTCTCTGATGCTTACAACCTATGTGACCTTGGGCAAGTGACTGCAGCTCCCTGGACCTCAGTTTACTCATCTGTAAAATGAGAGGGTTTGAACCAATGGTTCTGTGGTCCTTTCTCCTTCCATGCCTATAACCCTCTGGTCCTGTGATCCTAAGTCTCTTCTCTATTCCGGGCCTTGAGGTTATCACTGTACAGCAAAGGAAATAAAGGGGTGGACTCAGTGGCCTCGGAGGTCCCTTTGAGTTCTGTATCAATGATCCTACGAACCCACGTCATCATTGAGTGTTTATGTGCCAACTGGCATGGGATCTAAACTCATAAAGGAAAAATTAGCTAAATTTCAAAAAGACAGCAGTATAAAATAAGCAGGAGAATTTAATGTTCCTCACATAGATGGACAAATTTAAAATAAAGAGAAACAAAAAGAGAAATACAGCGGTGAATAAACTGTTAGGTAATTAAGAGCTAACTACGGCACCTTCTGAATGAGACCACTAAGAATATACATATTTTTCAGCACTAGATAGCACTTTCATCAAAATATAGACTACGCCTTAGGGCAGTGGGAGTCAACTCAAACAGAAGGGCCCCATACTGACTTAGAAAACCACAAATTAGCACTATGTTGTGGTGTATTTTTTATTTAATTTTTAAAAACAATTTCCAAATGCATTTGAATTTCGTTCAGCTTGCACTCAGGAGTTTTGAACAATTTCAAATAAATGTTTATAAAAAAGAAATGCTAAACACATGCTTTAGAGACCATGTGGAAATAAAAATAGTAATAAAGTCAGGGAGCACAAGCAAAAGAGACAAACCTCAGTGGAGACTCAATAATGAAATCCTAAATGACGACTGGATCAAAGAATAAATCACAGACACAATGAATAACTAAGCGACAAATAATGACAAGGGCACAACAATGCCGAAATTTCTGAGATGCAGCTAAAGCGATAAGCAGAGGAAAAATCACAACCAATAACAGAGAAACCAGCCATCTACCCAAGACCTCTCACAACCTGCCGCTGAACGGCTCCCGAGCCTCGCACCCTCCCCTAGCCAGCACTCCCTCTGTAACAATACCTGGCACCTGACTTCCGTGCCAGGGTCTTATGGAAACGGTGCCCCCAGGTAAAGGGCTCGACCCAGCTGACTGGTGATTGAGTGTGTGCACACTAGTACATGGAGTCTACTGTACTTACTGAGTGTTCCCAGACATCAGACAAGGCTTCATTTGTCCATCCTAGTCATCTGTCTAGTCATAGGAAGAGCTTAATAAATGCATTCGCATTTGTTCATTCACTCACACAATAAGTAAAAAAAGACAGGACAAACTAAATATATATTTTAAAAACTAGAAAGATAACAAATGAACAAAACTAAAAGAATCCTAAAAGAGGAAATCATGAAAATTGGAATAGAAATAGAAACCGAAGACTGATCAACAAAAACTTAAAAAGTCAAACCCTTTGAAAAGAATAACAAAATTGATAACTCTTTAGCCAATGTGATTAAAAAGAGAGTAGAAAATCAAATTAATTTTAAAAAACCAACAAGGTGAAACCACAACAGAAGAAATAAAAAGAATTACTATATACCTACTATATATACAGTTATATGGAAAAAACCCTGAGCACTCAAAAAGATATAGAGGATTACTTGCAAAAGAATAAACTACTCAAATTAATGGAACACCAAAGGGAAATCTTAATCCAATTTCACAAAATTTAATGAAACTAATCCAAAGGAGGGTGGGGATGGAAACCTCCTGGTCCAAGATGAATTTACAATAGAATTTTATGGATCTCTTTAAATATGTCCAAATCTCACTTTTAATCTTTCCCCCACACCTCCTGGCTTCCTTATCACTGTCCGGTCCTCAGGCTCACAACCTGGGTGTCATTCTGTCTCCTCGCTATCTCTCAGCCCCCAGATACAATCTGTTTCCAAGGCTGGTCCGTCTCACCTATGCAACATCTCTCCAATCCAACCACTTCTCTCCTCCAACCCTGCCCTGACCCTGGTGCAGGCCTCATCCCCTCACACCTGGACTACGGCAGTAGCTGCTGGGGGTCTGCCTGTCTCAGTTTCCTCCCCACTCCAGTTCATCCTCCTTTCAGACCCCAGAGTGACTGTCCTAATGTGAAGGTCTGATTATGCCACCCCCCCACCCCCACCCCCACTCAATAAACCTCAGTGGCTCCCTATCGCCTCCAGAAGCAAATATAAGATGTTCTGTCTGGCATCCATCATAAGCCAGCCCCCTCCCACCTTTCTAGTCTTTTTACACCAACATGGCCTCTTCCATCCAGCGACACTGGCCTCCCAGCTACTCCACAAACAAGCCCCTCCATCTCTCAGCTTCAGACATTTTCTTGGTCCCCCAGGCCTGAAATACGCTCCCTTCAATCCCACTACTGACCTCCCTGGCTTCCTTTAAGTCCCGATTAAACGTCCACCTTCTCTAGGAAGCCTGCCCCAACCCCTCTTCATTCCAATGCTTTTCCTCTGTTCTTACTTTCCTATTTATTCTGTATAGAGCTTGCTTTGTCTGTATCTGTCGGCATGTTGTCTTTCCCATTAGACCGTAAGCTCCTTGAGGGTAGGGACTGTCTTTGGCCTCTTTTTGTATCCCAAGGGCTGACCACAATGTCAGGCACAGGCCAGGTGCTTTATCATGCTTTACTGACTGACTGATTAAACTACAATTAATACCTGTGTTACACAAACTATTCAAAAAAATTTAGAAGGGACTGTACCAATTTCCTCTTATAAGACAGACATAATTGGGGGGGGGGGGGCTTGGCAATTGGAATTGAGTGACTCGCCCAGAGTCACACAGCTAGTAAGTGTTACGTGTCTGAGGCTGGATTTTAACTCAGATCCTCCCGACTCCAGGGCCAGTGCTCCACCCACTGCGCCACCTAGCTGCCCCTAGATGTAATCTGAAGACCTAAATCAGGAAAGGATAAAGCAAACAAAGAAAAACATAGACTAACAAATATCAACCTAAAAGTTTTAAAGGAAATCTTAGCAAGTGGTACAATCAATCAAAAAAAAAAAACCAACCAATCACTGCAATCAAGTTAGATTTATACCAGCAGTGTAAGGACAATTCAGCACTAGAAAAATGATCTGCATAATTAATAATACTGAGGACAGAAACTAGTCCTCATCAAAGTCTTCACATAAAGTCTACCATTTGTCCATTTATAACAGTGACACATTCTTGCTGCAGTGACATATACGGGTCCACCTACTGCAGGATGTGTAAGTACGCAGGCTACACTGACACGTGGACGGTCACACCGCCATTTGTATGCACAGACTACACTGTATCATCCGCAGACTTCTGCGGGGCCGCCGAGGCTCCTGAGGGGCACTCGGTAAAGCCGACGCCGTGGAAGAGAAAGGCACGACATTGTATCCAATACCAGAAATGACACGACAGAAAGAGAAGCTGAACTCACCCGAAGGCCGGTGGGGACGACCCCAGAAGTCCTCCGGGCCTCCGCCACTGCACCCCAGTCTGGGGGAAGGAGAGCACCTGGACAAAAGGAAGAATGTAGAGGAGAAGCGGCCCGGGGGCTCCCGAGGAAAGCCCCCCTCGGCGCCCCCCGAGCTGCCAAAGGCCAGGGCGCCGGTCATTCCCCGGTCATTCCTTCGGCCCCCTCGGTCTCTGCTCTGGTCGCACGCAGGGCGCAGACGGTGCGGAATCCAAAGGACTCACTGACTGGCTGAGCGGGGCCAGACCGAGGGCCAGGACACCCTGGGAGAGGGGCGGGGACACCCCCAAGAGCCGGGGTCCTGCGCTCCACCGCTCTGTCCCCAGGTGCTCCTCGGCCCGGGGGCTCACTCCCTTCCCTCCCCACAGCTGGCCGATGCTCACCTCTCCCTCCGAGCACTCCGGCCACGCGTTCCATGGTCACCCCCTCTCTGCCCAGCCAGGGCGGCCAAGATGGCCAGGCCGGCGGGGTCCCGGGCCCGCTCTCACCAGGGGCTGCCCTGGAGCTGCAGACGAGGGGCTCCTTCAGCGCGAGGGGCTCCTTCTCCCAGGGGCAGCCTCTACCACCTTCCCGGAGAGCTGGGACCTGGGGGCTCAAAAGCAAGGTCACTTCAGCCGGCCCGCCCCAGGCCCCTGAAAACCCTCCCCAGGGTGGGAAGGGAGGCAGCAGGAGGGGCCTGACCTCAGAAGGTACCTGGGGGGGGGGAAGTGGAAGAGCAAGCTGTGTGTGTGCCTGGTGCGTGTGAGGGGAGTGCGTGCAGGTGCGTGTGTGTGTGTGTGTGTGTGTGTGTGTGTGTGTGTGCACGTGGGGTATTTTATGAGGGTGTGTGGAGGGTGTCCTGCCGATGCCGCGTACATGTGTGTGCATGTCGGGGGATGTGTGTGCACGGCGCGTGTGGGTGTGGGTATGTAAACGTGTGTGCACGGGGGAAGTGTGCCCACACGTGGGGGGCGTGTGTAGGGTAGGCGAAGTGTGCGTGTGGGGTGTGTGCACGTCTGCTGTGGGCGGGGGTGTACAGAGTATGTAGTAAGCGCGCGTGCATAGTGGGTGTGATGTGTGCACGTGAGCATGGAGTGGGTGGGTGTGTACACGCGCGTGGAGAGTGTCTGTGCCCACGTGCATGACCCCATCCTTAGGCCTCTGCAAAACCAACGACGGCCCTGTGGGAGTAGTAGGGGGGGCGCCCGACCCCCCCCAGCTCCAACACTTTCACGGACGCGCGTGTCTAATGGCCCTTTTACGCCCCCCCCCATACGATCAATTAGAGTAGGAAGCCTCAGCGGGGGCGGACTGGTGAAGGGGTCACCGCGCCTGCGCACTCCTTCTCCCCTCTCTCCCTCCCCCGCAGGGCTCGGCCCCTCGGATCCGCACCAACAGTCCAAGTTTGGAAGTCGGACTTCCCAGGTCAGATGGCGGCCCACTACTCCTGACTCTGAACACCGGAAGAACGATCCCACAATGCGTCGCGCCATACGGCTATTCGCTAGAGGCAAGCTGGAAAGGGCAAGAGGAAGTACGCAACAGGCGGGGAGCACTGCGCCTTCTGGGAAATGGAGTCCGGAAGCGGAAGGCTCCTGCCGGGCACGCGCTCACCTAGACTCCATCTCCCAGAAGGCACTGTGGTTCCGCTTTCCTACGCTAGAGCGTCGCGTCTGCGTCTGCGCACTGGGCGCAGGTTTTGTCGGCCTCCTGGGACTTCGCGTGTTTGTGACCTTAACTTTGGGGGACTTCCTCTAAACGTTTAAGAATAAGTAAAACAGAGAAAAAAAGAGCAGATAGGTGAATTAGGAATGCAACTCAAAACAAAACAAAACAAAACAAAACCTAGGAAAAGAACAAATTTAATATCCCCAATTAAACACCAAATTGGAAATCCTGAAAATCAAAGGAGAGATTAATAAAAGCAAATGTAATAAAACCGTTGAACTAATAAGTGGAACTAGGAGCTGGTTTTATAAAAACAAAACAAAATAGATAAACCATTAATTTTATTTAAAAAAAAAAAGGAAGAAAGAAGAAAACCAAAATTACCAGTGTCAAAAAAGAAAAAAAGAGAAAATCAAAGCCATGGTCAGGAGCTATTTTTGCCCAGTTATGTGCCAATAAACCTGACGATCTGAGTGAAATGGATGAATGTTTACAAAATAGAAATTGCTCAGATTAACAGAAGAGGAAATAGAATCCTTAAATAACCTTATCTTGGAAAAATAAATTGAACACGCCATAAATGAGCTCCCTGAGAAAAAGTCCCCAGTACCAGGTGGATCCACACGGGCTGGTTTTCTCCTTCAGGGGCTGGGCTGCTCTTAACCATAGTGGAGGGGACCAAGGACAGGGTTTCCCTCCCCCAGCAAAGGACACCCAGACTGGATTCTGTTGATACTGTAAAATGCAATTGGTTTTCCCAGCTGCGTGGAATCCTGCCTAAGCTAATCAACACGCACCCGCCTTGGAGGTTAGGAGTAATCTCTTCACTCACCCATGCCCTTCAGAGATTGATTTGATCTCTCCACCATTCTCCAGGATTTGGACCTTAACAGAAGTAATGAGGACAGATCACAAATTAGTAATTAGTTATTAATGTAACAGTATAACATTAATTTCTTTCTGGAAATTAAATCAGGAAAAAAAACCTCTCGTGAGCACAGTATTAAAATCTATACTCCCATTGCTTTTGGAAAGGCCATATCAGTTGATGGTCTTATGGAACAATGTACTATTTCCTATGACTGCCAAAACTAAAACTCTGTTCCCTGGCCACATGTATGTGTTGTCTCTGAGAATGTCTGCTCTTTGAGGCCAGGGACTATCTTCCCTTATGTATTCCTATCTCCAGCACAGTGCACCTACCATATAGTAAATGCCTTTTCATTTGTTGATTCTGGTGTTACAATAAAGACATAAAAGAAAAAAAAATTTCTCAAATCAGCAAACTATTTAAAAATTTTTCATTAATCAAATTTTTTTTTCAATCAGCAAAAATCTCCCTTCTTTCCCTCCTGCCACCACTTACCCCCACGCCGTTACAAACATGTGTAGTCAGTCATTACAAATTTTATGCATTGTCCATGTCAAAAAAGAAAATCTCTCATCCTGTACTCAGTATTTCCCCCTCTATCAGCAGATAAGTAGTCCTCTGGAATCATGGTTGGTCCCTATGTTAATCAGAGTTTCTAAGTCTTTCGCAGCTGTTTGTCTTTACCATATTGATGTCATTGTATAAATTACTGTCTTAGTTCTGCTCACATCCCTCTGCATCAGTTCACACAAGTCTTACCAGGTCGCTCTGAAACCATCCCCTTCATCATTTCTTACAGTACAATAGCATTTCATCACTCTTATATCCTATAACTTGCTCAGCTATTCCCCAATTGATGGGAACCAACTCAGTTTCTAACTCTTTGCCACCACAAAAGAATTCTCTTTTCTAAATTTTGAATAGAACATGTAAAGACATGGGCAAAAATCATAGTAAAAGGCAATAGTATTTAACAGCACTTCAATTCATATAGAAACCCAAATAAGCCTTTAAAGAAGTCATCCAACTGCAGGTGGATAATGCCTGCAGACAAATAGTGGAGGAGGGATAGCTTTCTTCCCCACCCTCACCTCCTCTCACTTGTCAAGTGAGAAACAAGATCTCCTAGGAAAGCAGGATCAAGGATATTGGCTTCCCTTGGCAATTATTCAGGGAAGGAAAGGAAGAAAGCAAGGGCTGTGGCCCAGGTCTGGATGTCCTACAGCTACACACCTGCTCAGTCCTCATGGGTGTACATATCACTCAACTCTGGGTCTAGACTCCTCATCTCGGCTAGCCTCCACTAGCGACCATCAGGTGACAAAGGCTGCCAGCCGTTCCTCTGTCCCCCATTCAGCAAACCTAAGGCAGAGTCCAGATCCACAAAGCAGCTGCTATTCCTTCTGTGCACGTCTACCTGACTTCTCCGTGAGAGGATCTCTTCATGCCACAGAAGGTGAAGGGTCTACAGTTTTCCAATGTGATTGTGCATCTCAATCAATCAACCAATTAACAAACATTTAAGTGCCTCCTATGTGCTAGGCACTGTGCGAACCACTAGGGATAAAAATGACAGTTCTTGCCCTCCAGGAGATTACAATCTAAAAGGAGAAGACAATACACAAAAGGAAGCAGAAAACAGGGAAGGGCAGGAAGTATTGAAGAGAATGATGGAGAGATCTACAGGAGTGCAGCTGGGGGTGCTGTAGAAATGCTTAGAAGCATGTAAAAACCTCATTTTTAGTTCAACTGAAAACATTAAGAAATAATGTTTTGTCCAATTCTGTCCAAGCTTGGTGATATAGTGGCTTGAGTGCTGGACCCGGAGTCAGAAAACCAGTTAAATCTGGCCACACTTAACTAGCTAATTAACCCTCAGTAAATCCCTTAACCTTTGTCTGCCTCAGTTTCCTCAACTGTAAAACAGGGATAATAGGTCTGAGAGGTTGTTACCCCTCAAAGACTTAAGTACACGACAGGGTCCTCTGGAATGAATTCAGAGACTCAAGCATTCTTTAAGTCAAGTTGGCAAAAAGTTTATTGTTATGCTTTTCAGTGGTCAAGGATTCTTAAGGACCTGCGATCTTAAAGGGGTACAGTTAAAGTTTATATAGGATAAAATATAATAAAACATGTGCCAAATATGCTGATTAGGTGATTCAGGGTGGGATTAGGGAGTGGTTAAGGAGCGGTCAGTTCTTAAAGGAACATGAACTTCTTGTACCTACTGTGCAGTTGTTTTACCCAGAGTTCACTAGGAAAAGCCCACAAGGTGGGCCACATGGAGGTGTGGTTTTAGGCCTGCTACGTCACTAAGTTAACTAGAGTTCAGGGGTAACTGAAAGTTGTCCAGTCCGCCACCAGTCAATGTCTGGTTTGACAAGATAGATGTAGGGAGTATACATATGTCTTAGGTCTAGAATACAGATAATGAGGAGCCCAGGATGTAGATAATAAGGTAGGGTGGTAGTATAGATAGTCCAGTGGGTAAGAATATCTTTTTGACCCAGTGCAAAACCAGTTCAAACTAATAATTCCTTCAGGTGCTGTTTGTAACTGCACCAGGGAAAAAGATAAGGGTCTTGCCAGGGCCCACTCATGAGTAATTGCTAGGCACAGTGTCCTTGGGCTGGCGAGAAACTGCCAGAGACAGTGTTTCTGTCTCTGGGATCCAAGCACAAGCACCCAAGCACCCCATCAGTAGCACCTCCCAGGACTGTTGTGAGGAAAACACTTAGCACAGTACCTGGCATAGAGTTCCCCTTAATTCTTTTAGAAGACTGAGTAAAAAGGGCAAGAACAAAAGCTAAAACCTTCCTCAGAAGGTGGATTAAGGGCAATAACTAAATTGAATTCTCTTATAGTTAAGATCATTGCCTTCCCTAGCCCCTGAAGTGACTGGCCTATTGCCCACTCTTCCCAAATCCCGGAGAGATTAGGGTATTAATCAGAGGGAGGGAACAGCTAGGGGACGGAGGTGAAGCCCTCCAGGGGGGTGGGCAAAGAGGAATGAGCTCAAGACAGTTTCCCAGCAGATTTCTGAAAGATTAAGTTACCAGATTTATTAGATGAGAGCTGTTTTGTAGTTTTGTGACCTTTTCCCTATCCTATAAATGTTACATCAAATTGCCTTGAGATGTCAAGAAGAGAGAAAAAGAGGACTACATCACTTCGGACATTTCTTTATGCTAGAAATGCTTGCATTTAAAATGGCAAATTAATAAAAATTGTTTCTATCAGACAATAAACATTAAATGCTTATTATGTGCCAGGCACTGTGCTAAGTGTTGGGGATACAAATACAAGTTAAAAAAAAAAACCACATCCTCTCAAGTAGCTTACAAAGTAATGGAGGAAGAGAACACACAAAAGGGGAGAAGGGGATGGAGGTACCAGGCATGGGGGCATGATGGAGAGGTCCAAAAGGAATGTAGCTGGTGGAAATGGGGAGAAGTCTGTAATGAGCTCCTTTTTTAAGCCCATGGCCCTGTCCTCCAGTCAGACGGGAGCAGAAGGTCCTGAGACATGAATATCAAGCAGATTTAATCTGCCAGGACACTGAGGTTTCTGGCAGACTTGTGCCTAATAAGCAGAAGACAAGATTTTTTCTTTCCTTGAACCACAGCTCTACTTTGAACTATAAGATTTGACTTTTTGCCAAAGGCTTTTCCACATTCATTTTATTCATACTGACTTTCTCCAGAATGTACTCAATGAAATTTAATTAGGTCTCCACGGTAACTAAAGGGCTTTCTGCAGGTGATACTGAACAGCTAGGTAGCACAGTTCTAATCCAGCCTCAGGCACTTACTAGCTGTGTGATCCTGGACAAGTCATCTGAATTCTGTACGCTTCAGTTTCCTCTCATCTGTAAAATGAGACAAAGATAACAACTACCTCCCAGGGTTGTTGTGAAGATTAAATGATAACAGTTATAAAAGGGCTTAGCAGTGTTGGGCACTTAGCAAGCACTACACAAATGTTAGCTATTATTGCTTCCTAAGAAGAATGTATCACATACAATTACACATGAAAGTTCTTTCCAAGTATTTTAGATTTATGGAGACACTGTCTCATAGTTCTTTCTCCACAGCGCAACAAAGACTGACTCCAGACTAAAACTACTTCCCAAAAAAAGATGTTCTGTGAGTGGTGATGATGACTTCTTTCTCTCAGTTCTTTCTCTGGTTCTTGGCACCACGTTCCCTGGTTTTTCTCATCTTGGAATGCCAGGGGCTTCTACTTTGAGAGTTTTTTTGTTTTTTGTTTGTTTTTGCTAATGCCTCATGCAAATGTCCTACATCAGACTCAGCTCCTTGATATGAGTGGGCACTTCTCAAAGAAATCTTTAAATCATTAATAATTAAGAGAAACACAAATTAAAGCAACACTGCGGTTCCACTTCATATTTATCAGACTATCAAAGAAAAATGTGGAAAATGACACTGGAGGGGCTGCTGGAAAATAGATTCACTGGTGCACTAATGATGAAGGTGGTAACTGGTCCAGCCATTCTGGAAAACAATTATGTCCCAAAAGTTACCAAACTGTATATACACTTTTACCCAGCTAGACCACTAGTAGGCCTATACCCCAAAGACAGAGGAAAGAGCTCAATATCTACAAAAATCTTTACAGCAGGTCTTTTTATAGTAGCCTAAAATTCGAAATTAAGGTATTATCCTCCTATTGGGGAGTGGATAAATAAACCGTGGTATAAGTAACTTAATGGAATATCAGAGTAAACAATGAAGATCTCTGTGAACTGATGCAAAGTAAGTCAGCAGAACTAGGAGAACATTTTACAATGATAACATTACAGAGAAATACAATTCTTTTTTTTGTTGTTGTTATTTTAGGCAATGGGGTTAAGTGACTTGCCCAGGGTCACACAGCTAGTAAGTGTTATGTGTCTGAGGCCGGATTTGAATTCAGTGCCTCCTGAATCCACGGTTGGTGCTCTATCCACTGTGCCAGCTAGCTGCCCCTGAGAAAAACAATTCTCAAAGATTTTACAACTCACAACTCACAAATTAATATGAAACAACACTCACCTCCTCACAGAGAAGCAATGAACTTAAAATGCATGCAGACATACATTTTCAGACATGGACAAGACAGGAATTGATTTTGCCATATGCAGGCATGTATTAAGGACAGTATTTTTTTTTTAAATTTGCTCAATGAGGGTAGGGAGAAGATATTTTAAAAAATGTTTGTTACCTGTTATCTGTCAATAAACATTTATTAAGCACCTACTGAATGCTAAGTGCTAGAGATACACAGAAGGGTAAAAAAGTCGTGTTTATTACAAAGCAATATCATTAAAACTATTTGGTATTTGTTTTTTTGTTTGTTTGTTTGGTTGGTTTTGGTTGGGCAATGGGGGTTAAGTGACTTACCCAGGGTTGCACAGCTAGTAAGTGTTATGTGTCTGAGGCCGAATTTGAACTCAGGTCTTCCTGAATCTAGGGCTAGTGCTCTATCCACTGCGCCACCTAGCTGCCCCCTTGGTATTTGTTTTAAAAAATAGATTAAATATACAACACAGAGAAGTAAACAGATAAAGGAGTGTATTTGTGATAAACCCAAAGACCCCAACTACTAAAATAAGGACTCAATATTTGACAAAAACTGCAGAGAAACCTGAAAGCAATTGGGGAGAAATTTAGGTATAGGCCAACATTTCACTATATACCAAAACAAAATAAGAAACAAACAAAAAAACCTCTAAATGGATACAAGATTTAAATATAAACGGTGAAGTTACAGCAAATTAGAGGAACAAGGAAGAAATTACCTTTCATATCCATGGAGAGGGAAGAGTTGATGATCAAAGAAGGGATAGAGAAGATCACAGAAAATGGACAGTTTTAATTACACAGAGCACTCTGCTCCACTCCATACGATTTTTGCTGCAGCCATGCTGGCCTACCTAACTGCTCACCCATACAACAAACACTCCATCATTTACAACAGTGGTTTTGCTTTAGTTGCCCCATACCTGGAATGATCCCCTTCCTCATCTCCAACCAAGAATGGGAGATCACCTTCCATTCGGTCTGTATGTATCTCTTATGTACGTCTGTTTACATGCTGTCTATTCTGGGGTTTTTTTGGCTAGGCAATGGGGTTAAGTGATTTGCACAGGGTCACACAGCTAGTAAGTGCAGTCTATTCTATTTGAATGTGAACTCCCTGATGCCAACAACTACTTTGTATTTCTTTATATCTATAGCCTGGCAAATAGTAAGTGCCTAATAAACATGCATTTGTGAAGTCGATTTTTTGTACCCTATTATAAGCGTATACATTTATCACTATTCTTTCAGCCCAGTGATGTCAAGATCTTTTAGTTAGCTCTCTTATTCACTCTTAGCTGTCTATCCCAGTTTTAGGTCACTTGAAAATTTGATGAGGATGTCATTTATGTAAGCCATTGTAAAAATGTTACACAGTCCACAGTGAAGCACAGACACCTTCAGTATTCCACCCAATACAGTGACAATGAGCGATTTGGTGCAACTCTATTTATTACACTTAACTGTACTCCAGTATAAGTTCTCTAATACACAAGGAGGCATCCCCTTCCACTGAAAGCATTCCCACATTTGTTACATAGTTTCTCTCCAGGATTAATTCTCTGTTATATAATATCTTCTCTAGCTGAAGCCTTTTCTGTATTAATTACACATAAAGGACTTTCATTCTGTAAAAGTTCTATGATAGCTAATAAGGTTTGTCCTACGAGTAAAAGATCTCTCACATTCGTTATGCACAAAGGGTATCTCTCTAGCATGAGTTTTCTGATGTGAGCTAAGGTTTGCCTTTTGGGTAAAAGCTTTGCCACATTGATTACATGTAAAGAGTTTGTTTCCAGTATGATTCCTCTGATGGCTGGTAAGGTTTGCCCTCTGTGTAAAGGTTTTCCCACATTCATTACATACAAAGGGTTTTTCTCCAGTATGAGTTCTTTGATGGGTAATGAGGTGTCCACTCTGTCTGAAGCCTTTGCCACATTCATTACATGCATATGGTTTCTCTCCTGTATGAGTTCTCTTATGGATAATAAGGGTCACTCTATGAAGGAAACTTGTTCCACAGTCATTACATACAAACTGTTTCTCTCCACTGTGAGTTCTCTGATGAGTAATAAGGCTTCCCTTTTGGGTAAATGCTTTCCCACATTCATTACATGCAAAGAGTTTCTCTCCAGTATGAGTTCTCTGATGGCTAGTAAGGTTTGATCTTTGGGTAAAGGTTTTCCCACATTCATTACACATAAAGGGTCTCTCTCCAGTGTGAGTCCTCTGATGGATCATGAGGTGTCCACTCTGTCTGAAGCCTTTCCCACATTCATTACATATATATGGTTTCTCTCCAGTATGAATTCTCTTATGGACAATAAAGCTTACTCTATGTAGGAAGCCTGTTCCACATTCATTACATATAAACTGTTTCTCTCTCGTATGAGTCCTCTGATGAGAAACAAGGCTTCCCTTCTGAGTAAACGTTTTTCCACATTCATTACATGCAAAGAGTTTCTCTTGGGTATGAGTTCTCTGATGGCTATTAAGGTTTGACCTTTGGGTAAAGGTCTTCCCACATACATTACATGCAAAAGGCTTCTCTCCAGTATGAGTTCTCTGATGGGTCATAAGATGTGCACTCTGTCTAAAGCCTTTCCCACATTCACGACATGCAAAGGGTTTCTCTCCAGTATGAGTTCTCTGATGGATATTAAGGTTTACTTTGTATCGGAAGCCTATTCCACACTCATTACATTCAAAGGGTTTCTCTCCAGTATGAGTTCCCCGATGGATAATAAGTCTTTTCTTTTGAGGGCCTTTCCCACATTTATTAGGAACAAACGGTTTTTCTCTGGAATGAATTCTTCTGTGAACAATAAGGTTTGCCTTCTGGGTAAAGGCAATCCCACATTCATTACAAGCAAAGAGTTTCTCTCTAGTATGAATCCTGTAATGAGTAATAAGGCTTGACTTCTGGGTAAAGGTCTTCTGACATTCACTGCATGCAAAGGGTCTCTCTCCAGTATGAGTCCTGTGATGGGTAAGAAGGTTTGCCCTTTGTGTAAAAGTTTTCCCACATTCATTACATACAAAGGGTCTCTCTCCAGTATGAGTCCTGTGATGAGTAACAAGACTTGCCTTTTGGGTAAAGGTCTTCCCACATTCATTACATGTAAAGGGTTTCTCTCCCGTATGAGTTCTCTGATGGATAATAAGATATGCACTCTGTCTGAAGGCTTTCCCACACTCACGACATGCAAAGGGTTTCTCTTCAATGTGAATTTCCTGCTGTGTGGTAAGATGCCCATTCTTTCTGAAGCCTTTCCTGTATCCATTATATGCAATGGATGTCTCTTCAGCATGAGTTTTCTGATGGGTAATAAGGCTTGCTCTGCTTTGGAAGCCTGTTCCACATTTATCACATGCAAAGGGTTTTTCTTCATTATGAATTCTTTGATGCACAATAAGCTGTTCCTTTCTGCTCATGCCACATTCATCATACACAAAAGATTTCCCCCTAGTATGAGTTCTCTGCTGGCTAATACAGCTTCCTCTCTGGCTGAAAGTTTTCTCAAACGCATTAGATTCAGATATTTTCTTCCCAGTGTGAATTCTCAGAGGTGAAGTAAGGATTTCCTTCCCACTGAAGGCTTTCCCACATTCATTATATGCAAAGGAATTCTCTCTAGTATAAATTACATTATGTTTATTCAAGCTTCCCTTATGGCTGAAACCTTTCTCATCTTTATAATAACTGTTGCTTTTCTCTGCACTGTGAATTCTCTGTTGTCCAATAATATCTGATCTTCTGCCAGAGAATTTTCCACATTCATTCCATTCATGTCGCTTTTCTCCAGCATGAATTCTATGAAATTTAATTAAGTCTGAATGGTATCTAAAGGGCTTCTTGAATTTGGTATACTTAAAAAGTTCCTTTTGGAGGGAGAATGCATCATATGTAATTAAGTAAGGAAAATCATCCCTGAAGCTCTTTCCAAGGGACTTATAGTTGTAGAGATTTTCTCCCATTACCCCTTTTGATGCTGCAACCAAGTCTGACACCAGAATGATATTTCTAGCATTGTGTTGAGGTGCATGCATTTGGTTACAAATTGTTCTGGGAGTGACTATTCCTTGTCTCCATTGTCTCTCCTGGTTGCGCTTCAGCAATTCTACATTAACCTCACATTCACCTGCTTCTCTCATCTTGGAATGCAAGGCTACTGTATCCTTGTGCAGTCTTATCTTGGATGATATTCCCATGCAAAAGGCGTGCCTTGGATTTGAATCTCTGGGTTCAAACTTGGTCTTCTCACTAAGGGAATCTGGAAAAGAAAATGTTTTAAAAGTCCTTAGTCACTGTTTGCTTTTCTGAGAGACAGAATCTTCTTTAGAGCAAATTCTAGTTTCTGTCTCTCATTACTGACACTGAATTTGTACATATATTTAGTTCCTATTATGTACTGGAGATACAAAGAAAAAACAAAAACAGTTCCTGTTCTCAAGGAGCTTAGATTCTAATGGGGTCAACAATGCAGACATAAATTGGCTATATAAGATATATATAAAACAAATGCAAGCGAAAAGCAGTAGCAGATATGGGAACTGGGAAAGGCTTCCTCCTCAGGAGTTTATATTTTATATGAATCATAACAGAAACCAAGGTCTCACTGTCTAGACAGAGCTAAATAATACCAAGAACAGATGAGAAGATACCAACAGAGCACCTAGCTGACCAAGACTAAATGAATTACATAAAGGGGCACTTATAGAGGTTATTAAAAACAACACTCAATAAAAAACAGAAGTATCACTGGAAGTAAGGATGAGTAGAAAAGTACACAGGATAAGAGAAATTACGTCAGAAAACTACTGAATTGAAAATTTATTCAACTTGGAATCTATGCAGACAAAAGTGACAGGAATTTGAGCAACTGTGAAAAACTTAAGAATTACTGAGGTTCCTCAAAATTCCAAAGGATAAAAATGTTTCAGGAAGGTCTATTTCATTTTTCCAAAAGTACCAAGAAAAAGCAGATTAGACCTAGTATTTATTAGTCCAATAAACGTTTGTTTACACCAAATTCAATTCACACAGAACCATTATTTTTTGTTCATCTACAATATTACAATATGATTTTAAAAGCAGCCTAAAAAGGCATCATATGTCAAATATCCTTTTGACTTGCAAAAGGTTTTTAACAAAAATAATACATGGCAAAAACCTAAACATGATTGCCTGCTGTGATTAATGATATTATCATTCAATGTAATATGAGATCATTATTTTAAAAATAGCCTGTTTACATCAATGACTTGAATGAAGGAATATACAATTAGCCAACATAATTAATAAATGGTACAAAACTAGAAAGGATAGCTAACAATATATATGAGTTAGGATTCAAAGATACCAACAGGCTAAGACAATAGGCTGAAACTAATAAACGTAATAGTCAAGTCCTCCATTTCAGTTGAAAAACTCATTTTGAAAGGCACAAAACAGGGTAGGTGTGGCCAAACAGAAGCTCATCTGAAAAAGATTTAAGGACTTTAGGAACTCAAAAGCTGAACAAAATTAAAGCAGTATACACAGCAACCAATCAGGAAAAAATATGGAAGGTCAAGGTCCTGCCTTGGTCAAACCAAATCTGCAGTGCTGTATTTAATTCTAGGTGCTATGTTACAAAAAGGGTATTGATAAGTTGGAGAATATCCAAACAAGAGTAATGAGCATGGTGAGTAACCCTGGATCTTGTAGAAGAATCTGAAGGACCAGGGGACCAATAGTTTTGCTTTTCCCAACAGATGTGATTTTGTCAGGGTAGAGAGAGAGTTACATAAGGAATTTCCACTACCAATGAAAAATCACCTGAGGCACCGAAAGGTAAATGCAACTTGTCCGGGGACACACACAAGTGAGATGTGTCAGAGGCAGGACATGGATCCACGGCTACCATTTTCTAAGACCAGACCTCTCCACTGTGCTGCCTCTTTGAAAGATTTACGGGGTACATGTTGCAAATTATATGACGGGCTCTCAAGTGAAAAAGCTATCAGGCTTGCTCTGTGTGGCCCCAAAGTTCAAAATTAGGAATCAGTGGATAGACACTGGAAAAGGGCAAATTTGAGTTCAATTTAAAAAAAAAATTCTCAACAATTAAAACAGTCTAAAAATTTCACCAGCCACTTAAGGAAATAGTGGGCTTATTACTAAGTCTTGTACCCCGAAGTTGGTCTAGGTCAAAGAAAAAGGAAAAGGGCCCACATGTACAAAAATATTTACAGCAGCTTTTTGTTGTAGTAAGAAACTAGAAATTGAGGGGATGCCCATCAAGCGGGGAATGGCTGAGCAAGCTGTGGTGTATGATTGTGATGGAATACTATTGTGCTTTAAGAAATGATGAGCAGGATGGTTTCAAAAACACCTGGGAAGTCTTACAGAACTGATACAAAGTAAAATCAACAGGACCAGGAGATCATTGTACACAGTAACAGCAATATTGTAAGAATGATCAACTATGAAAGACTTAGCTACTCTGATCCACACAATGATTCATGACAATTCCAAAGGGCTCATGATAAAAAACGCTATCTCCAGAGAGAGAACTGATGAACTCTTGAGTGCAGATTGAAGCTTATTTTTTCCACTTTAATTCTCTTGCTTTTTTTTTTCTGCGACATGGCTAATATGGAAATATTTTGGATGACTTCACATGTTAATGGATGGCATATCACTTGTTCTCTCAATTGACAGGGAAGGAGCTGGAGGAAGGAAATGAATTTGGAACTCAAAATTCTTAAAAAATGTTAAAAACAAACCAAAAAAGTAATGTTTCCTCTCATTGGAGTTCTTCAGGCACAATTTGGATGGTCACTCATCCACCATGTTACAGATTACATTTTTTCTTTTAACCAGGTATGGACCAAATAGATGAGTCTTGTCCAAAACTGAAGTTCTATGATTCTCTAAAGTTACATGAATCTCAATTACGTAGAAATTGGTATTTTTTTTATCTTTTGAAGAAAGGCATTAGAGATTATGCAAATCCATATGGATTATGAAAATGAAAAACTAAGAATGAAAAAGAAATAATCACAATTACATAATAATATAATTATTACAATATAATGCAATAATTATAATTATATAAACATTTTTTTAATTTTAAAAATGTCTGTAGAGAAAAGAGACTAAGATGTAATGTGCATCTCGGAGAGTAGTGGTACAAAATTCACAAGCCTTTTCCCCTTCTTCAACCAGAACTGCCCTTATGGTCTGTATAGACCAGAGAGGCATGATGATAAGCAAATGAAAGTAGTCAACAGATGGAAGACCTGGCCGAAAACAGCTGTAGTCCTCACTTGGCCTGGATAAGCTCACTGACTGTATGATTGCCCAGAAGATGGTGGAAGGAGTTCAAACAGCTGGATGGTTTCCCTGTGAGTCCTCCCTACAGGGAAAGTCTTACTATCCCTATGGATTTTTAACAGAGTTTAGGCTTCCATGAACACAGAATCAAGATAAGATTAAGAACGATGATAAGCAATGAAGAGAGAGGAGCAGAGATGCAATGGCCAGCACAGAATGGGACAGAACGTCAGCGAAGGACAGAGAAACATGGCAACATCAATGGAAGACATCTGCAACACTGCAATTTAGAAGTATGCAATGCCCCTCTATGTATTTATCCTAGTCATATGAATTCACAGCTAGAGGCCATCCATATGGGTGTCATGACCGTATGGGTTCCCCATGTGTACACGCCATGTGAGAGATCCCTATCCAAACCAGTCTTCCAATGAGAGTTGTGTATTTGTGGAAATCCAATGTGTGGGTAGATATTTGTGGAAAAGTTATATGGAGCATATTGTTACTATTATTACTAAATAACCTGACACGCCTTTGCTTTCAAGGGTTTCTACAGGCTAACTAGTAAAAATAAACACATTAATTGGCGACTTCCTGTGCAATAGTCTCAAAGAGGATTCTGATCTATCACGTATATAATAGCCAAGATAGCTTTGTACAGGTTCAAGGGTGGGAGCAGGTGATACACAACTAGAGAAAGTGATAATTATAAATAACAATTGTGGGGGAAAAAAAGAATATTCTTATCTATTACAGGAAAAAAAGACATTATAAGAGAACAATGATAATATGAAAATAAAGTGCTTTTCCACAAGAATATTTCCAGAATAACGAAGAAAAGAAACTGGGGAAAATCTTTACAATCATTAGTTCCTATCTTAAAAATGATATTTGGGGTGGGGAGTAATGACATTTGGACAGGAATGGAGGCAATATGTTACAACAGAATGAGCACTAGCTCTGGAGCAAGAGGGCCTGGTTTCAGATGCTACTCGTGCCTCTTAATGACCTGTGACCTCAGGTAAACCAGGTAAAACACTTAACTTCCTGGACCTCAGCTGCTTCAACTGTAAAATCAGGTACACCAGAGGGGCCCTGAAGTTCTCCAGCTCTAGTCAATGATCCAAGGAATGAAAAGAAACCTCAAATACTGTTCCTAGCCGAGTCACTGGTTAGAATAAAGACTAAGAAACAAACTGAGTGTCCAAGAACTGGAGAATAGGGGAGCCAAGTATGTTAAATTAATGTTTTTGTTGTGTGTTGTTTCAGTCTTATCTAATTCTTCACGACCCCATTTGGGACTTTCTTGGGAGATACTGGAGTGGCTGCCATTTCCTTCTCCAGCTTATCTTACAGATGAGGAAACTGAGGCAAACAAGGTTAAGTGACTTGCCCACGGTCAAACAACTAGGAAGTGTCTGAGGCCAGATTTGAACTCAGGAATAGGAGAGTCTTCTTGACTTCAGGTCTGGCACTTTATCTACTCTGCCACCTAGCTGCCCCATGTTATATTAATGTAACAGAATATCATTAATGAGGAGGATGAAAAAGAAGAATCCAGGAAATCTGAGAAGGCTTCTACACCATGGTGAAAGTGAACAAATAAGAACTGAAAGAGAAATACCCACACTGCCCATTACATAAAAATAACAGAAATATCTATAAAACTGCATTATGAAGCTAAGTAAGAAGAGTGAACAGAAGGATGTTGATATCATAACCAATCACCTTAAACATACACAGCACTTTTTTAAAAAATCCTGATCTTTTAATATAGCTAAGTATCTGTATTTGCCAATGTAAACTAAATTGAAATTTAAAGTAAAAAAAAGAAACTAATGAAGGGCCTCAGGGGAAAAAAATCTTCAAACAGTATTTAAATATTGCTGTGCTGTAGAAATGATGAACATGAAGAATAGACAGAAGAATAGAAAGACAAAAAATGAAAATTAGGCAAAGTGAAGAAAACTGAAGCAGGAAATCTATGTGCACAAAAACTACAACAACATAAATGGAAGAACAATAATAAAGCCATCTGAACCAAATGTGGAGAAATTATAATGTCCAAGCTTGACCCCAAGGAAGATCTGAGAAAAGACTCCTTGCTCCTACTATGGGGTGGAATACATACACAGTATTCTCAAATACTCCCCAGAACACATACAGAGTATCTCAGGACTGTTTTAAGCTATCATGGAAAATGGCACCAGACTGATAGGGTTATCCTGCATAACACCAGACTTTACTTTGTTCAGTTTTGCAACAACAACAAAAAAAATGTCTTTCTTTAAAAAAAAAACTTTAGCTTAAGAGATGGTACTCTGGGAGGGGCAGAGATTTACAGCAGGAAATTAAGGTAATGTAAAAACAAAAATAAAAATGTATTTTGAAAAGAATCTAAAAGTTATAAGGAACTTACACAAAGTATAACAGAAATAGTGATTCCCCAGCATATAGCTAGTCGGATTTTAAGACAACGCCATATAGACACATATGTATTTGTTTACTGCAAATAACATTAGCTTTTGGTTTTAGGTATATGATTTACATAATATGAAAAAATGGACCTCACAAGCCTTTATGTCTTTTTTTTGCATAAATGCTATAGTTTTTCAAAGGCTTTTATAGCATATAATTATTAATATGTTCATAAGGTTTGCTGATTTTAAAAAATATACGATTGTACTGTTTCCCAAATGCTGACATATCCTTATATCTCAAGTACAAATCTGACTTGGAAATGGTGATTTTCTTTTTGCATTTGTTATTGTTATTTGCATATTCCTGATACTAATATTACTATATTAGTGTATACTGTTTGTATATCACCATCATGGGTGATAATTGAAAAGTCATGGAAAATAGGAGGGGACTGACCATAAGACTGATGGAAGGCCAATGTTACACAACCTTCAATAAGAGGAAAAGAACAGTATGTAAACTAAATTTGCCTTTCAATTCCTGAAAAAACTCCAGAACATACTCAAGAGATAAGTGGCAAACACCTAGACAGAGAAGAAGTAATCAAAAAGAGATAGCATGACCTCCTAAAGAGGTCATCCCAGGCATTACTAAAATAGTAGATGAGGGGAATGTTTTGAGTATACTTTACCTAGAATTTAGCAGCGTTTGATAAAAAATGCCATATTTTTCTTGTGGGGAAGATGGAGAAATATGGATTAGACAGAACATAATCAAATGGATTCAGAACTGACTGGTCTTAAAGTGTAGTTGCTGAGAATTCAATGTCAATGTGGCAAGAGATCTCTTAAGGAGATATTACCTACATTATCTATCTATGGAAAGACAATATGAACTGAGGCAAAGTGAAATCAACTGAAGCAGGAAATCAAAATACACAAAAATTACAACACTAAAATGGAGAGAAATATGGATAGTTGTGTGTATATGTATATATATAAATGTATGTATCTGTATTGTTCATTTGGAGATGAAATAATTTAATAGTGTTAATATATTACCTAAATTAAACCACGAATTTATTGCTCCACAAATCAACTATGTAGGGCATTTTTTATAGACATACACCACAAAGAAACTTCATAAGAACAAAATGTTGAGAATCTCAAGGTAAATATGGGGGGAAAAAAAAGCAGGACTATACAGGGGAACTTTCTTTCTATCTTTGACCTCCTTGAGATATATGCTAAGTAGTGGGGTCTATGGGCTAAAGTGTATGCACGTTTTAGTCATTTTCTCAGTTGTTTATGGGAAGATGCCCACACTAATACTGGTAGAACTGTGAATTGTCTCAACCATTCTTGAACTTTCCAGAATGGACTTCCAGTCTGGAATTAAGGTTAGAAAATGTACACCTTTGGAATCAGAGATCCCATTATTAGGTATATACCTCAGGGAAGTAAAAAACAGAAAGGGTCCCATATACACCAAAATATTCATAACAGCACTTAACAGTATCAAAGAGCTAGAACCAAAGTCAATGCTCACTGATCGGAGAAAATCATGGTATCTGAATATAACTGAATATCACTATACCACAGAAACAATAAAGATGACAAAAAATTCTGAGAAGCAAGAGAAGACATGAATTGATGCAGTATGAAGTAAGCAGAACCAAGAAAACAAAATATTCAATGAATACAACAATATAAATGGAAAGGGGGGGGGAACCCAAACTAAACACCATATAGTTATAATAACTAAGCTCAGCCCTAAAGAAGAGATGAGAAAATGTGCCCACCACCTCTCTTCTTCACAGTGATGTGAGACAAACGTGGAACACAGCTTATATTGTTACACTAAACTGATGGGTTAGTTTTCTAGATTCACAGATGGATGACTCACTGAGGAGAGCAGTGAGGAACACATCTGAAAATGAAACTGATGTAAAAAAATCAGAACATTTACTTTCAGGTATGGTGGCGAGCCATGAATTTGTCTTGCTCAATTCTGGCTGTTATGGAGGGTGTGGGGGATACATAGTGAGGCACTGAGAGTGATACCTAAAATGGAACGGACTCTTTCTTTTTAGGGGGAAACAAACAAGCACAACAGCTTTGAGACTGAAGAGTGGAATTTCTCACATCATTTTAAAACCCTGGAAACTTGAAGGCTATAGATCTGACATATCATATGATGTCCTCTTTTGCAGTTCTTTGTTTATGGAAATGTTCACAGTTGTTGGTGTTAAGTTCAGAATAACAAAAAGAAATTTTTAGCAGAAAAAATAAGATGATATAAAAATGAAAAGATCATTTTAAAAAGAAAAGAGAACAGAATTTTTGAAGATGATAACAAAAAACAAAAGCCTGAAAAAAAACAACCTTTTCTTAATCTCCAATAATTGCAAAAATTCAGAAATACGCATTTCTTGGATACATCAAATCCATTCGATTCAAAGATGAGTTTCAAAACATAATGCCAGCAGGGCTATGGGGAGACTAGCTATTATCACATGGTGTCGTCTTTCTGGAAAGCAACACAGCAGAAGAGCCATAAAATGGTCACACCCTAGTGATGCCGCTACAAAAGCGCAGCACCTAACTGACCCAGCAAGAAGCTGCTTGCCACGATGCCCATCTGCCTGATTTTCACTCACCTGGACAGCTGCCACTGACGGCTTCTCCCTCTGGCATCCACGGTGCACCTCGCTTCTCCAACAGGGAGATCATGTCCGTCGTGGAGACAGGAATTCCTACACATGGGGAGAAAAACGAGACAACGCTCAGAACAGAAAGATCTAAGAATTCAGCTCTACTCACTGAAAAGCAGAAGGCAGAGAAAACGCAGAGGGCAGTACAAAGGATCCCAGAAACAGACTCTTCTGTATTCCAAGGGAACATGAGCCATGAATCCAGGCTAAAGTCCACATCCACCTATGCTCTGCCCCAGACACTGATGGACAAACTCTACTGGCTGCCTACCCACATGCACCATGTAATCTGGACAACAGACTGTCTTCTTCCCCTGATCCTTTCTCTGTGTGACGATCAGGCCAAACTGATCAGATACCTGCAGTTCTTTTTTAGAAGACTCTAAAATGTTCCAGGGCTTGATGCAGCCAGGACATTATTCACAAACAGGAACACTGGAGGGACCTCACCATCCTTTAAGGCAAATCAAATCAACGAACATTTATCAAGTGCCTTCTATTGTGTAACCTCTGAGAATAGCCCACTCTGCCCTCAAGGAGCTCACAATCTAACGGAAAAAGACAACGCGCCAACAACCACGTACAAATAGGTGACAGACGAACACGTGCATGTATACACACACGAAATGAACTGGAGATAAACGACAGAAGGCAGGCACTACAATTAAAGGGGATCAGGAAAGGCAGGAGAGGCAGAATTTTAGCTGAGACCTGAAAGAAGTCAAGGAAGCCAAGAGACAGACATGAGGAGGAAGAATGTTCTGGGCGTGGGGGCGAGCGCTGAAGAGGCACAGTCAAGAGGTGACGTGTCCTGTGTCAAGCAGGCCAGTGGCACTGGACCACAAGGAGCAAGACTGTTAGAAAGGTAGTGGGGGGAGGAGGCTGGTTACACAGGGATCAGGATGCCAAATAGAGGACTTTCTCTTTGATGCTGGCAATAACAGGGAGCCATTGGAGTTTCATGAATCAAGGGGAGAGGAAAGGAATGGGACATGACCAGATCTGTGTTTTAGGAAAAAACCATCTGACAGCTGAGTGAAGGATGGACTGGAGCGAGTAGGGACTGGAGGCAAGACGCCGACCAGAAGCTACTGTGCCGACAGTCCAGGCAGGAGGCGATGAGGGCCGGCAGCAGAGGGCAGCAATGTCAGAGGAGAGAAGGACGGTAGAGGAGAGACACTGCGAAGACAGAAGTGACAGGACTTATGGGGGGTGAGAGAAAGAAAGGAGTCAAGGATGACAGTGCGCCTCGGTACAAGTGGCACCTTTAACAACGCTGAGAATAGGAAGAGGGAGGGAAACAGGAGTTTTAACTTTGGAGACGTGAAGTTTAAGATGTCTGTGTGACATCCACTAGAAGATTTCCAATAAGCAGCAGGAGACATGATTCTGGAGGTCAGACGAGGTTTGGGTTGGGTAAGCAGATCTCAGAGTGACCAGTATAGAGATGATAACGGGATCCACAGGAGCCGATGAGATCGCCAAACAAAATATTGTAGAGGGAGAAGAGAAGAGCGCCACGGCCAGCAGGTACAGCCTTGGTAAAAATGCAGCCACCGAGACTGAATAGGAGCAGTCAGGCAAGGAGGAAGAGAACGAGGAAAGGACGGTGCTGTGAGAACCTGCAAAGAAGAGCTGCGGCCTCTTCATGTCACGTTCTCTGATGGGTCTTCTCTATCACAGAGGTGAACAACATTAGAGAACAGAGAGGATGTGGGGCTGGATCGCCTTTGGGAAATTTCAGAGTCCCTTTAATGTTCCCAAGGTTCCCTGGAAATAAAGGTCCTTCTTTTTACTTTCAATGTTCAATAGGTATTGCTTTCAGGCAGAGAAGTATGGAATCTAACAGTCTCCAAAGATGTAAAAGTGAATGTTACTCATGGGGCAATGAATAAGATCATGGTGGGTTTGAACAGAGTGCAATACACATAACCAAGGTGGAATTCCAAAGAAAAGAAAAAAAAGACATCGTCAAGGGGGTAGCTAGGTGACGCAGTGGATAGAGCTCCAGCCTTGGAGTCAGGAGGACCTGAGTTCAAATCTGACCTCAAACACTTGATACTTACTGGCCGTGTGACACTGGGCAAGTCACACAGCCCCAGCTGCCTCACCAGGAAAAAAAAAAGAATATGGGCCTGCGTCATAGATCCCGAGTCCCCGGGACAGACAGTGCACTTACCCACAGAGACAAGGTTCTCGCAGTTTTCCAACATCACCTTCCTGTATAAGTCCCTCTGGGCAGGATCCAGACGGCTCCACTCCTCCCAAGTGAAGTCCACAGCCACATCTCTGAACGTCACCGATTCCTAAATCAAACCATAACTGCTTTGCCAGGAGACATTCCTCCAAATACTTCTTCGTTACCTATTTCTGCTGTATCTCAATTTAGACTAGATTCAGTAGTCAGTATTGCTTAAGTTCACATTCTCAAATCCTCTGCAAGTAAACCCAAGAAAATTCTAACCTTAATCAATCAATCAACAAACATTTATTAAGGTCCTACTGTGTACCAGTCACTGTGCTAAGCGCTGGGGATACAAAAAGGGGTAAAAAACAACCCTGCCCTCAAGGAGTTTGCAAACTAACAGAGGAGACAACATGCAATCAAATATACACAAAGAAAGCTACACCCAGGATAAAGAGGAAATAATTAACGGAGGGAAGGTACTGGATTTAAGAGGGGTTGGGAAAGGTTTCCTGTAGAAGGTGAGATTTTAGTTGGGACTTAAAAGAAGCCAGAGAGGTCAGTAGTCACACCTTACTCTTAAGATTCCCAAACCATAGGGCAGCTAGGTGGCGCAGTGGATAGAGCTCCGGCCCTGAAGTCAGGAGGACCTGAGTTCAAATCCGGCCTCAGACCAAACGCTTGACACTAGCTGTGTGACCTTGGGCAAGTCACTTAACCCCCAAGTTGCCTAAAAAAAAAAAAAAGATTCCCAAACCATGTCACAGAATTGGCAGCCACCCGATTGTTACATACCTAACATTAACAATGGCAATCAAACCCCAAATACTAATTTCCCCCCTTTGGGGTATCACTCTCCCTCAGTGGTCACCTCCTTATTCCAGGCATATTTATTCAGGAGGCAGTACACCAGAAAGAGTATAACAAGCGAAGAGTTCTTCCCAGTTCCAAGCACTAATGGCGCTCTGCTCTTTCTCCTAGGTCACCATCTCCTTTGTACTGTGGAGACCTGGAATAAACTTCTGCCCTCCTTATCAGAACACTTCCTAAGTACTTATAATACACAATGAACAAACAGTGCTCAGCTGTAAAGAAAAGCTTTTCTCCAGTACTTCAGAGGTTCTCTGGCTCTCCTGATAAGGGTACTTCTCCACAATGGTGAAAGTTGAACTCCAACCCCCTCTTCTCAGCATGCATCAGATCTTTGTTTCCATCATCAGACCTCCAGAGGTGGTCGAAGCAACGAGCAGAAACCTTCCTCTAGCTCTGTCCTCACACAGGGGCACGGTGTAGCCTGGCGGATGGCCCTTTCTCATTGACGGGCCCACTTTATTTTCCAGTCATACTTCTTGGTTGATAACTCTTGTGTTGATTCTTGGGCACAACTCTTTACTGGCAACATGCTACAATGTATTTATACCCATCCCATGTCCTTCTGTTGCCTTCAGTCTTCTCAAAATATGAATTCTTCTGAGACAATGGTATTGCATGATTCACGGCCATAATGAACCACCAGGAAAACAATGGTGATGTTCCATTTCAAGCAGAAGCTGGAGGCCATTAAAAGCACTGCAGATTCCCTTTGATCCAGTAATATTGTTACTAACTCTGTATCCCAAAGAGATCATAAAAAGGGGGCAAAGGATTTACACATACAACAATATTTATAGCAGCTCTTTTTGTGGCAGCAAAGAATTGGAAATTGAGGGGATGCCCATCAACTGCAGAATGGCTGAACATGCTATGGCATATGAATGTAATGGAATACTATTGTGCTACAAGAAATGATGAACAGGTGGACTTCAGAAAAACCTGGACTTACATGAACTGATGCTGAGTGAAGTGAGCAGGACCAGAACACTGTACACACCCACAGCAACATCGTTCAATCATCAACTATGACACGACTTAGTTCTGCTCAGCAATACAGCGATCCAAGACAATTCCAAAAAACTCATAACGGAGAATGCTATCCACCCCCAAAGAAAGAACTGATGGAGTCTGAATGCAGATCAAAGAATACTATTTTCATGTTTTTCCCCCCATGGTTTTTTCCTTTTGTTTTGTTTCTTCTTTGACAACATGACTAATGCAGAAATGTTTAACACAACTGCACATGTATGACCTACATCAAATTGCTTGCCATCTTAGGGAATGGGGAAGGAAAGGAAGGGATGGAGAAAAATCTGGAACTCAAAAGCATATAAAAAATGAATGCTGAAAACTATCTTAACATGTAATTGGAAAAAATAAAATACTATCTACATTAAAATTTAAAAAAGCGCTGCAGAGTTTCCCAAATGCTGTTCTTCCGTTCTCTTCCACTTGTTTAGTTATGGGTCTATTTCATTTCCAAACTGCACTGTCTGAACATGATATATGAATTTATGGACCAACACCAATGCCAGTCACCGTAACTCAACAGTCGTTCCTTCCTGCCTTGGCTTTTCCACTGGGAGTATCTCAGTCAAAATACTTTGAGTGCTTATCAGTGTCGTTCAGGAGGCTCCCCAATGTGCTGAGTGTTAATGGAGCCACATCATGGATGTGCTCATAAGAGAGAGGGTTGGGAAAATATCCTAAAGATAATCCTCTCTGAGAGAAATGATTATTTCTCTCTTATATTTAATAACTCATTACTGCATGAGGACCAAGGTTTTTCCCCTTTTCTACTTCCTTATTCAGCAATCAGCCCCTGTAGGTTATTCAGGAAGAACTCAAATCTGTTCAAAAGATAGTTAGGTGAACTGATGGATTCCAGCCCACTGTGTTTTACTTAGGTCTGGGAAAATGTGGATTCACTCTTTGGTCAGATGGGTGATAAGGATACAGATAATTCTCTTCAACCAAAACCCCTCATTAGAATAAGTCCATCTCCCATTATAATATTCATTCTTCTCATTACTTATTAACCAATCAGAGTCGACTGCCACCCTCAGGAACCCACTCTTCCAAGGGCATATAAGCATGAATGGGTTCCATGACTGGTCTTTGGTTTAGGAGAGATGGCCAAATGGCCAGTCTTTTGTTAATAATATGCCAGCATTATTAATATAATGATTAATTACCCAGAAATTATGTCTCGAACTTTTTATATGTCACATTTATTTCTATGACGGATCTTGAGCAGGACAGTCTCCATGACCGTAGTGAACACAGTTCCCCCTCTCTGAAGCCATGCTTGATATAATCTAGAGGTCACCCAAAAATTATCTTTGTTGTTATATCCACCAAGTAAGCTTCTATTACCTTAGCAATCCATGGGACAGACACTGGTGGAGGAGAGGCTTCAATTTTACATTTTTGCTCTATAGGATCAAATGCTAACTTAGGATCAACAAGCTACTGGGGGAGAACTTCTACTCTCTGAACCTTTCACTAAACTGACAAGTTATATACTACAGAGCAGAAGTATCAAACATACAGCCAGGCCACATCATAGCAAAAACTCTCTTGAGAGCAGCCCAAGCCAGATTAAAATGTAATTGGGAAATATTTTAAAAAATACAACAGAACAAGGGCAGCCAGGTGGGGTAATGGATGGAGCACCAGCCCTGATGTCAGGAGGACCTAAGTTCAAATCCAACCTCAGACACTTACTAGCTATGTGACCTTGGGCAAGTTACTCAGTAAACTCTAATGACCTCCAAAAGTAAAAATACAACAGAACATGGATAATATTCATATGTGGTTTTCTAAGTCCATATGTGGCCCACAGGGATCCTTACGCATATAGTTTAATGACCCCTGTTTCAATCTGAGTTGGGAAATCACTACTGTGGAATATTTTTTGAAAAGGACTGCTTGTCCCCTTCTCATGCCTTCTTACTCTGTGACAGGTGGACATTTTTTTCCTCATAAAGATTTTGCAGAAAGAACTGGAAATTGAGAGGATGCCCATCAATTGGGGAATGGCTGAGCAATCTGTGGTATATGAATGTAATGGAATACTATTGTGCTATAAGAGATGATGAAGAGGCTGACTTCAAAAAAACCTGCAAACCCCTGTACGGTCTGATGCTGGGTGAAATGCGCAGAACCAAGAGAACGTTGTACACAATAACAGCCGCGCTGTGCGATGACTAATATTGATAAACTTAACCCTTCTCAGCAACAAAGGATCTAAGATATCTCCAGAGGCCTCATGATGGAAAATGCTATCCACATCCAAAGAAAAAACTATGGAAGTTGAATTGCTATCATTTTTTTCTCTTCCGTTGAGTTTTGTTTCCTCTTTCTAACAGTTCCTCTTATTGGTTTTAATTTTTACTTACAACTTCACTAATGTGAAAATATGTTTAACAGGAATGTAAATGTATAACCTACATCAGATTGTGTGCCATCTTGGGGAGGGTGGAGGGGAGGAAGGGGGAGAAAAATTTTCAACTCAAAAGTATATGGAAGTGATTGTTGATAAATCAAAATAAATTAATTTTTAAAAAATAAAATAAAGATTTTGCAGAGATGGGAAATTAGTTCCAAAGGTTTGTAGATATTTCTTTAAAATCTTCTGTCTGGATTTTTTCTGGAATAATATCTGGAGATCTTCTCCAAGTATCTGGAAAGTGTTCTTTCGTAGGGCTCTCGGACACTCATCCCTCAATGCTCTCAAAAGCACACACTCTCCCTCCTGAATCTCCCACATCAATACTTGACCTGTTCCAGTTGCTTTTTCTTTACTCTCTTCGTTGTCATTTATATTTCCCCATGCTCCACATGACAGTTTGTAAATTTAGAATATGAATGTGGTGGTTCCAGTGTCCCTGATGGCTAAAGATCTCCTGATAGATGTTTCCCATTTTATTTGTTGTCTTCATTCTAGTTTCATCTACAGCTATTATCAGGATGATCTGATTTAAATGGGACTCATGTAAAGCTTTCTATAAACCTGCTTTTCCCTGTGCTGTTTATTCCTAGTCGATGAGGTGATATTCTTCACTCAGTTGAATGGAACCTTTGGGGCTTCTAGTTCAAGAAATACCCCTTTAAGGTCCCTCTATACAGCACTGCTGATGAGTGGTCACCTAGCCTTTTCTTTAAGCTCTCCAGTAAGACCCCCACTCTCTTTGTCAGCGACTCATTCCACACTTTGATAGATTTAATTGTCAGAAAACCGTCTTCCTCTTGCTAGCTCTACACACTGCTCCTAGTTAAGTGCTCTGTGCCCAAGCAGAACAAGTCTATTCTTTTCTTATGAAATCCCTTCAAAAGCATTGGCAAAACACTCATGTTTGGCCTAAATCTTCTCTTCTCTAACCTAAATAACACTAGACCAGGAGCAGGGAACCTGCGAGCTCCAGGACGCAGGTAGCCCTCCAGGTCCTCAGGCAAGGCCTTCTGACTGACTCCAAACTCCACAGAACAAGTCCTTTCATTAAGTGGATTTGTTCTGTGAAGTTTGGATTAAGGATTTGTTCCACAATTTGTTCCTTAGGGTCCCTACTCCTGCTCTAGACCATTCAACTGATGTAAATAGTTGATATCACCATTCTGTATCACTTTCTCTGCACACCCTCCTGCCTGTCAATCTTCTCTACCTAACAAGTGGGGTTACATGCTGTTCACAATGCTCCAGAATTGCAGTGCCAGTAGGAGGTACCAAGGAAGGATGTCTTCTGTTTCTCCCCCATTCTCTCTCCCTCCCTTGCACCTTCTTTTGTCCTGTATGGTTCCTTCTTCCCTGGCCTCTCCTGTATTCTCCATCTCTCTCTTACTCCATCTCTGCAATAACCTCTTTCACTTGTTTCTTACCTGTGTTTAAGGCTATCCTACAGCAAAATGTAAGGTCTTCAGGGGCAGGGGCAGTTTCATTTTTATCTGGGTATTGCTAGTGGATCAACTTAATGTTTGCTAAATTGTAAGGAAAAAAATCTTAAATTAGAAGAAATCTTTGAGGTCAACTAGTATGAGGTTTTGACCGACCTTTATATGCTTAACTCCCACCATTCATCTACAAGCATAAAAGGCAATTGCTTTTCAAATCATGTACATATGTTCTAAAATTTCCTAATTTATATTATAGAGACATTCCAGTTCTGTTGATCTGCCTTCTCTATGTCAGTGATCAGAATAGCTACAGGCTTCAAAATAACTCAGGCTCAGTAGCCCAGATGGGATCTGAGTACACTGAGAAATAAAAGGAGAGAAACATCACTCTTAGAACAGATATATGGCATGAAATAGAGCATGGGAAAAACAAAGAGCAACTTTAACTCACCTGAATCGTTGCTGTCAGGAACTCAAAAGTAATTCCCTCCTCACTTTCCATACTCCTATGTTGGGGAAAAGCCAATGCCTGATGAGACTGAGCTGGTGAAGGAGAAAGAAAGGTCAGACCGACTGTAAAACACAACTTTGTTCTCGTCTGCAAAGTCTTTCTGCATCCTCAGTCCCATCCTCTAGGTCACCCCTCCACTCTCCAGCTGCCAATCACTGCTTAAGATGCACCAGAAGTACAGCCCCCCTTCCACAGGGATCCCCATCCTATTGCCAACTTTCACTCCCTGAACACAACACAGTAAATGCTTAATAAATCAACACTTGTTTCTTGCCTATGAGTGCTGAGCCAGCTCAGAGGCCAGGATAGGGAGCCAGATCATGGTAGGCACTGAGCTGCAGAGAGAGCCAGAAGGGAAATGAGTTACATTAGCTGACTTCCTTTTTCATGCTCTCTCTCCTGAACCCTTCCCTGACAAACCACCTCTGACCTGGGCAGGACTCCAATCCTCCCCGCTCTGCCACAGTTCTCACCTCCGTCCTCCATGGTTACCTCCTCCTGGCTTTCTCCTCACTGTTCTGAGTTCAGAGTCTCCTCTGCCCCTCTGGTCTAAGGAGGGTCAGGGATGGCAGCAGAGGCATCAGCCCCTCCAGGATCTGCTCCTCCTTCATGCCTTCCTGAGGCCCTCTTGAGGGTTCCCTGGTGGGGAGGGGTCTCAGGCACGGCCTCTTCTCCTTTTCCTGGGGAACGTTTCCACTTTCTAGTAAAGATGGGCTTGAGAGCTCAAAGATGACGCCCCTGGGGGCTCCTCTAAGTGCTACCTCCTCTCTTTCCCCCAGACCCTAAAGGAGGGGGCAGCCAGTAAATGACCATTTACCAAGGGCAAATTTTGGCCACAATGAAGCCCCAAGCATTAAGTTGCAGGGACGCTGAAGTGGCACCCACACCCACCCACAGGCCCACAGGGGCTTCGTGAGCCCCCACCCGCAGCCACGGGCACAGACACAGGCACACACACGTGCACAAAAACTGCGGCCTCCGACACTCACAAAGTCACACACACGCCCTCTGACACACAGTCTCACACACACACAGTGTTACACACGCATACTCTCCAACACACACACACCGAGTCTCCCTTTCTCACCCACACAATGTCACGCACACATGCCTTCCAACACACAGTCTCACACATGTACACACACGTCATACACATACCCTCCAACACACATAGTCATATACACACACAGTCTCTCACACGCGCGCGCGCACACACCCTCCAACATACACAGAGTCACACACTCTCACACACGGAATCACACAACCACCACGCACCTCCCCCCACCCCCGTCCCCAAACATCCTTTGGCTCGCACACACACGTGCACCGCGCGCCAGGAGCCGCGCCTGCGTACTCGACCCGCCCTACCCCCAAGGAAGGGCGCCCCCGGAGCTGGAAAACGGGAGGCTGAAGCGCGGCGCTTGCGCACTCCTTCAGTCAAGTCCTAAGCTCTCGGCTGTAGACTTAGAGCGGTCATGGTTTGGCGCCTGCGCACTGATTCTCTCACTCACCCACCTAACTAGCGGCCCTGAAGGCCTAGAGCCCCACCAGGTACCAAGCTAGGTCAGAGTCTGGCCGGAAAAGTATCACAGTGCAACATGCTGGGCGACAACCCTCTTAGGAAGGCAAAAGGAGCGACGCCGCCTAGACCCGGAGGAGCCTCTTGAGGCATTCTGGGAAATGGAGTCCAAGGGGCAGCCACGCTGTCTCGCGCCCGCCCGGGGCCGCAAGGCGCATGCTCTGCCCTGGACTCCATCTCCCAGAAGACTCCGCGGTCACCCTTACTTAAGCAGTAATGGCTGTCCTTTCCCCTACACCGCGGGGAGTCTTTCCCCGCCCTTCCTAGAGGGAGGGAGGTCAGACTCCCCCACCCCCAAAGGCGCCTTGTCTTTCTGTGTGTTTCTGCAGGGTGTGCTCCAGGAGTCTCCCCCGTGCAAGCTCCAGCTTCAACTGTCTCATCTCTAAAGTGGGGACCATAATAGCATTTACCTCCCATAAAAACGAGGTTATAAAACCCTGGACCACAAAGGCTCGTCATTGCTAGCCGTTATAAAGATGGGTGGTGCAGGGGACAGAGCGCCAATCTCAGTCTGCCTCAGTTTCCTCAGCGGCACCTGTCACTAGTGGATGCTCCTTGAATCTAGTAAATGCTGACAGATGATCTCTCAGAAGTGAAGCCTCCTCAACGGGTCAATACTTATTGTTCATAGTTCTTTTGTGGTTTTCAAAACCCTCCCCTGCTCAGACCCTGTTTTGTAGCAAAAAGAATAGCCCTACCCCCAACCTGAACTGCTTGCCCTTGCAAAACTCCCCTCCTTTTCTTGTCTCTGGGCAAACTTGTGTACTAGATTTCCATGAATAGATTGTGCCCCCTGAAAGCCCAGCCAATGGGATAAGGGGAGCTCCAGTTAGGGCATAAATAAGCCTTGATTTCTGCAACTGATCCGTACTCTCCTGGCAGGCAATGGCAACTAGGGGCAGTACCCTTTCTCGTGAGAAAGCAATAAACTCCTTTCTGCTTTCAACGTAGCTAAGTCTTTGGTTTTTTTATTTTGAGTTAGTGGTCTCTGTCCCACACAATTGGAATCGTCTCAGAGTCTAAGAAGTGTGGGGGAAGCGGAGCTGGACCAGGGTGTGCTGAGAAAACCAAGGGAGCTGGGGTTTGGCCATAACTGACTGCTCCCCCCAGGACCCTCCCAAGGGAAGCAGAACGTGCTTCCGCCCCTGGTCACAGTCCAATCACCCCACCAGTCCCGGTGGTGGAGCTGCACTGGTCCAGCCCTTCTGGAGAACAGCTTGGGATGGGCTGGGGGGAGGGAGGAACCCTGTTTGGTAACATCTCCTTGGACTAATCACTCTACCACCTGGTGGCCTAGTATTAGAAAGTCCCCAGCCCCCACTGAAGAAGAAGTGAAATAGGACAAACTGTTCCTGGACATCAGCCTCATCCACTGATGTAACAACTATTTGTCCTTGTAGAAGAGACTGTAGTTTTGTCTAAAAGGACTTCTTTCAAAATTGTAAAAATGATTTGTATGCTTTGCAATTATCTCTGGTCCTTGAATGGGGAAGACTTTCTTATAATAACTTCTGCCAGTTGCATTCCAAACACTCCCCTTTTTTCCCTTGGGTGATTCTCCTCTTTCTTCATGCTACTCCGTCTGTTGTGGTTATTCTATCCTGAGTTGCTGGGAAATGTTGCTGATTGGCTGTGTGTACTCTAGAGGGCCCTGAACAGTTACAAAAACAAAAACAAATCCTTACCCTAGAAAGCTGAAAGCTGCTAGACAATGAGCAGACTTCCTTAGCATGCTACTAAGTCTCTTCCATTTTACCGTCTTTGACCCACAGTCATTGGACACCCAATGATGGGTGTACCTCTCCCAATAGTTTCCATTCTTCTTGGTCAAGAGAATTCCCAGACAGGAGCTATACCCCAAAAGTTTTTAATTCTGCATATTCTTTGATTGAGTGATACCACTACTAAGTTTTCCTAGAGAAATCATAGAAAGAGGAAAAGGAACCCATATGTACAAATAGATTTAGTGCAGCATGAGGCTCTTGATTTTTGCAGTGGCAAAGAATTGGAAGCTGAGGGGGTGCCCATAAGTTGAGGAATGCCTGAGTAGTTAATGGCATATGGTATACCAGCTGCCTTTCACAGAGGAGGCAAGCCAGCCTCACTAAAAAATCAGGGCAACCCAAGCAAGAAACAGGAGGCAGCATTGCCACACAGGTCAAAACCGCCATCACCACCTCGACCAAAATCTTTCCTAGACTTACTGAAGACAGCCTCAGACTGTAAATCCAATAGCTTTGGGAAGAACAATGCTTCCAGCCTGGTACCCACAGCCATCATGCTATCAAGCAACCAGAACTTTGTCGACAAGTGCTCCTGCTAGCCACATTTATTGAAGACACAGAAAAGAAAGTTTTGTCGCCAAAGTTCTCGGCATTTTCAAACAGTTCAATATCTGAAGGTAATAGGATGTTATCAGTGGACATTAAAGAAAAGGCATGACCATCTGCTTTGCCACTAGACCCCTAACAGGGATGGGGAGCCTATGGCCTTGAGACCACAAGGGTGCTTTTAACGGAGTCCAAGTTTTACAGAAAAAAATCCTTTTATTAAGGGGATTTGTTCTGTGAAGTTTGGATTCAGTCAAAGGGCCACACTTGAGGACCTAGAGGGCCACGTATAGCCTTAAGGCCACAAGTTCCCCAACCCTGCCCTAGAACCATGAGATCTTTCCATCTGACTTGAAGCTGAAGCCTTCCATATGTGAAAGCCAGGACTGCCTTACTTTTTATATCTTCAGCACTTAGCATAGTGCTTTGCAAATAGTAAGTGACAATAAATGGGGTTTTTTGATAACAAATTTATGTGATGGAATACTATTGTACTGTAAGGAATGATGAAAGGGGTGGTTTCAGAGAAACCTGAAGACTTGTATGAACTGATGCAAAGTGAAGTGAGTGGCGCCAAGAGGGCAATTTATACAGTAAGAATAACATTGTAAGGACAAACAACTTTGAAAGACTTAGGAACCCTGATCACCACAATGACCAACAATGATTCCACAGAACTCATGATGAAACATGCTAGCTAGCTCCTAACAAAGGTGACAGACTCAGTGTGCAGATTAAGACTTTTTTTTTTCACATGACCAATATGGGAATTTGTTTTGCTTGATTATGCATATTTGTAACTTTTCAGTTGGGGGATGGGAGTTAGGTAGGAGCAAAAGAAGGAAGATACTCCTTGACTTGATATAATTTGAAAACAGGTGGGTCCTGAGGGGTTCAAAATAAAAAGTGCTTTAAAACTCTATGGATATGCACAAATATTTAAAGCTCTTTTTGAGGTGGCAAAAAACATCTCTAAAAACCGAAAAATGGACAAGTTATGGTATGTAAATGTGATGAAATACAATTATGCCATAAGAAATGATGGAGAGTGTACAGTGGGAACCAGAGCCTGGGAATATGACCTGTGATTCCACAGAAAATGTAAACACTTTGAGTAAATGTAAACAGCAAAAGAAGCTCCAACTATCCCATAAGAGAACTTGCACGTGACCTTGGGCCATCCCTGGCACTATGCCTTCTTTGTGCTGTTTCTGTGTAATACCTAGCCTGACCTAGGGTTGGTGCAAGGATTCATTTTACTTTGTCCTGCTGCCACCCAGGATGATCAGCTCCCTCAATTAATCCAATTTACCCCAATAAACCAAAACCTATTAATAACCAGGCTGGCATGGCCCTCTCTTTCTTTGGCATCTCAGTATCCTCTCAGAGGGCATGCCACCTTATAATTGATATAATCAGGGCAAAATAGAACCTTCCCCCTCATATTTGTAAAAAATGGGCAGGATACTGAAGAAATTAACTTGGGGAATGAGGTCTCCACAGGGGAAATCCCAGCCATCTCAAACCCCTGGGAGAGAGAGGTGGCATGTCTGCCAGGGGGCAATCTTAGGTTGGCCACCCATACCAAATGGATGTGGGAGAGGTGGCCCGAGCTGCAGGAGTACCAGGACACCTGGAAAATGCACATTGGCTTGTGCCTTGACAGGCTTAGCGAATCCTAAAGAATCAACTAAAAAACTTGTTAAAATAATTAACAACTTTAACAAAGCTATAAAATAAACACACATAAATCAGCAGCATTTCTATATATTACCAACAAAGTCCAGCAGCAAGAGATAGAGAAAATCGATTTAAAATAACTGTAGATAATATAAAATACTTTGGAGTTTGCCTACCAAGACAAACCCAGGAACTATATGAACACAATTACAAGATACTTTTCACCAAAAAAACAGATCTAAACAATTGGAAAAATATTAATTGCTCATGAGTAGGCAGAGCCAATATAATAAAAAGTGACAATTCTACCTAAATTAATCTACTTATTCAGTGCCATACCAATCAAACTACCAAAAATTATTTTATAGAGTTAGAAAAAATAATAAATTTCATCTGGAAGAAAAAAGTGGTCAAGACTATCAGGGAATCAATGAAAAAAAAAACTATAAAGGTGGCCTCGTCATACCAGATCTGAAGGTGTTTTATAAAGCGGCGATCATCAGAACAATCTAATACCATCTAAGAAATGGAGTGGTGGGTCAGTGGAATAGATCAGTTGTACAATATGTGGTCTGATGGATCATTAAGTCAGTAATCCATCATCAAGGGAAATGCCAGAAGCTACTTAGAAGAAGTGTGGTTCTGGATTGCAGGTGGAATGTCTGTATCTGGGGAAAAGATGGAGGAGTTGGCCTTTTCATGGCCAAAGGTAGGATTATCTTGACTCAGTTTCCATACTGTGTTCCTTTTGGACAGGAATTTTTCCCACATGGTTATCCTGAATCTGGCTATGAGGAGAAATTGCTACTGCAAGATGGGTTGTCAGCTGTGACTCTTACCTGAAATAAAACAGGGCTTAGGATGCTTTATCCTGGTATAAATGGTGACTCATTCTATGCCCTGAGGGTTAGGCCTAAAGGACCAATTTTGATATTGTTATAATTATATCCCTGGTTTTTTTTCCCCTTTTATAACCAATTTCTATAATCAGACCAAGTGGTCAGTAGAAGATCTGACCACAATGCATATCTGTGTTTTCAGTCTGAGTGTACAGTCATACCATATCCCAAACAACCAAGTAAATTAGCATTTGGGCTTGTCATCTGTCTAATAGCTGTGCAGTCATGTATAATATTAAGTCCCTAAAGTATCTCATTCTTTTAGAATGCTATGCAGATAATCAAAGGTTTTTTTTAAAAGTCTGTGAAACAAAGACATTAATCTATTACTTTTTGAGGTTAAAAGTAGAAACCTCTTCTTTTTTTATTTTAAGGAATAGAATTTCATTACAATTAGTCATCTTAGTGGAGAGGAATATTTGTGTAATATCTATTCCATTTGAATATGGCTAACAACTGAACAGGTTTTACCATAGGCAACTCATTTGATACACACTGTTCTCTGTATACAGTTGGGAATTAATTACTTGGTGTATCTACATAGCCCTTCCCAGGTCTTTTGTTACAATTGGAGTAAAGTCGGCCTCTTGTAAAAAAAATTCATTTGTGTAACCATTGAACCCTAGGGGTGGAAAGACTCTACCTACCAAGAGTGTTGATCCTATGTTTTCATATGTAGGGTTAGATTGTCAATAGCATCTGATCCTCCTAAGGGGAATTGGAATTGGTTGGAGTGGGAAATTTTGAGAAAGCAACAAGATCAGACAATCCTGTACATCAAATGTAAATGACTCTTATGGGGTATGTAAAATTTAAATTCTCTGAAGTTTCAAGTGAACTAATTTGATGCTTCTTTTATAACCCTATTGTTAATAAGATCAGAACCACAAAGTTTGAGCTGGTTTTCACCACACAAACTAGGTATTGGAGAAGCAAAATCTGAAAGCCTGCATAGAGATCTGTTTTGTAAAAGATTTTAGCAGGATCATCTAAGGAGTTTCTATAAGCAACTTGGAACCAGAGAAGCAAATCTATTAAAGATGAGACCTATCCCAGGATGCCTAAGAGATGTTCCAGAGACCAGGCAACTACATGGAGCATCTGAGGTCCAAGATGAAATTTGTTGACTAAATGAATATTAGGAATGGGTTACTAAAATACAAAAAGACTCGACGTTAGTTCATGTTGATCGTCATCACTGTGTGACTTCGGCTTTTTCTTTCACTGTATCTATATGCTGAGTTCTCTCTGTTATCTTGGTGTCATGTGAATTTTCCCTCTAAATTAGTCCATGAATTTAAATACTCTTACTATGGCTTGTAGTATGGTTAATCATTCTTGTTGTTCTTACATTGACCAGTCACGGAAAATTGTGACTGGTCTCTCATTAACAAAAAGGGAGAAATGGAGAAAAGCAAATGATTCTGATTCCATTTTGTAACTGATTCTATTCTGTATCACCCCTGTGAAAGTACCCCCAAGATCAGTATGTCTGTTTTCTACTAGTTACCTTCCCAAGCAGATTCATAGAGCAAGCCTGTTTGCTGAAGGGAGCCAATCAGGAGCCTGCAATGAGCCAAAGTCTTGCTTACTCCCAGAAGCTGGCTGACCTTGCTGAGCTGTGCATCTCAAACCAGCTTAAACCAGCCTGGCAGTCCACTATTCCTGCAAAACATCCTGCTTCAGTGTTCCACCTGTTCCTGGGGAAAACTGTCAATTCTTTACCCTAACCCCTCCCTGAACCTCAATTTTGTGGCTCTCGAGCATAAATTGCCCCTGCTTCTCCTAGGCTGGTTAGGGCTCTAGTACCCGATTGCCTCAACACTAGTTTCTGATTTTCCTTCTAATAAAACCTTTCAACTCAACTTGGACTCCTCCGTATTTGAGGGGTGGGCTTCACCCAGTTGACACCTGCAAGGTGTCATAAAATTGCCCAAACCATGGGCAATTCTTTGTCTCTGAACTTATTTCAGAAATTCAGCTGGACCGTAATAAATTAACTTTCAAAATCCAGTTCTCCCACTGATCACCATATGTCATTGACTCTTCCTTTGCCTCCCTAGGGATGGGATGGAAGAAAATGGTAAGAACTGTGGTCATTCTCTTCTTGGTCATGTTGTTTCCCTGCTTGTGCTTGTACTAGAGTTGTGGATTGTGCTTCCAATGCAGTTCATTGGTAGGCCCTTCTGCATCCTCCACATGAGCAAAACCAAAACCTGAGTGTACCACTCAGGGAAACTTGTGGAAGATACTATTGGGAAGAATGTATGAGCAGGTCATGAGAGGTGGCATGTACAATGGGAACCAGACCTGGAGTTGGTGCAGGGATCCATTTTACTTTGTCTTGATGCTGCCCACCCTGGCTTCTTCTAAGTTTTCCCAATTAACCCTAATAAAACCTATTAATAACCAAGGTGGCATGGGCCTACAATTAGCATAACCAGGGCAGAACAGAACCTGCCCCTTACAGGGAGACATGGTTTCAGAGAAACCTGAGAAGACCTGTATGAACAGATGCAGACTGAAGTGAACAGGAGAACAATTTATAGTGATGGCAACATGGTAAAGACAAAAACCTTGAAAGATGTGGGGCCTCTGACAGTGTAATCACCAACCACTACTCCAGAAGACTAGTGAGGTTAACGTGCTACCCACCTGCAAGCAGAGAGGTGAAGGCTTCAGAGTGCAGACCAAGGGACATCCTTTTGTGTACACGGTCGATCCGGAAAGTTTATTCCTTGACTCCACACGTTTCTAACAATGGTTTTGCTTTCCTTTTGTTCTCAATAGGGGATGGGGTGGGAGGGAGAGACGGCAGGTTCTTGCTGTTTTTTAAAAATAAAATATGATCTTAAAAAGAGGCTGTGTTCAGTGGTACTGGAAGTGATACTTTCCTGTTCGATGAAGTGAGTGATCCCCTAGGGCACAGGTGTCAAACAAGTAAAGCAGATTAAAATGTAATGGGGAGACATTTAACAAAATAAATAAAAACACACTAAAACTAGACACCATTACATTTTCAAACTAAGTCAATGGCTCCCGATATTTGAGTTTGACTCTACCGGTCTAGACAATGAGCCTTTGTGAAGAAGATCTGGGGGTCCTAACGTTTGCATCAAAAGAGACCCAGTACATGGGTGTCCAGTCCCCAGCCTTGGTCAAACTCTGGGCACATAGAATGACCCCGGGTCAAAAGGTCATAGACCCGGAAGGGTTGGCAGGGGTCATTTTACGGATGAGGAGATTGAAGACCACGTAGGCGAGGAGATCAGAATTATTTTCGTTTCTTTTAAAGTAAAGCCAGGACAAAATGATGTAAGTGAAAACGTCAGCGGGTGCAGGCCAGCCCAGGACAAAGCCTCACCCAGTTCGCAGACTCAAGCTTCGGAAAGGAGGGCCGCAATACCTTCTGGGGAATGGAGTCTGGGACCAGGGTGCGCCGAGCCCTCCTGCTTCCGGACTACATTTCCCAGAATGCACCTCTAGTCCATGCTGCGTTTTGGCTCACTTGGTCTTCTAGTCTGCGCAATGTCGCAGAGCGTGATGCATTGTGGGAATGATTGTTCTGGACTGCATGGTGGGAGGCCGCAGTCTCTGGAGCGAGACTTTACCTCCGCCTTGTCTCGCCACAGCGCCCGCTCCGTCCTCCTCTGCCCCTGAAGTGGGCGCTCGAACTGAGAGGTGAGTGAGCCGGGAGGAAGTGCGCACGCGCGGCCCGCTCTGCTCTCCCCTTCCCCCATTCTTGCTACGAGGGCTCGAGGTGGCAACCCGAGCCTGTGCGCACGCGCGGCTCACTCTGCTCCCCCACCCATCCCCTTCTGCAGGCGCCTGGGGTGCAGATAGGGAGTCAGTGTGCGCACGCGCGGACCCAGCATTCCTCCCTCCCCCTTGCCTGTGAGCACCTGTGCATAGGATCCCCACCTGACTGCAGGCATTGGCCAGTCACGTATAAGTAGCCCCGCCCCCCTCTTCCTCCCAGGTTCTCCTGGAGCGAGGCAGGCCGGAGTCCGGGTGGTGCCGGCAGCGGCGGCGGCGCTTTAGATAACGATAAAGAATTGAATTAGTGCAGGCTCTGCGCCCAGCCGCCTGCCCTCCTGGATCTTACACCCCAGCAGGGAGCACAGACGAATAAAGGGGCCTCGTCGATCCCTGGGCCCTGGCAGGGTCAGGCAGGGCTGACCCGCGGCCGGAATCCAGGGTACGGCCCAGGAGGTGACGGTCAGAATGGAGGCCGCAGAGGGGAGCAGGCCAGGGAGTGGACGTCCCACCGGCCACGGGTCCTTGAGCTCCACTTGAGTAGGAGAGTTCATTTGCAAAAATATTTTTTAGCCGAGAAAGTAAGATTCAGAGGGATTATTTGATTAAAATACTTAATTTGTTAATTTTGAAAGAAATCGAGGTTAGTTAAGTTTTGCTTTCTGTAGTCTGATAACTAAAAATCAGGTCCCTCATGACTGTGAATTCAATTAATATTTGCCTTAAAAAAAAGATATCCTCAGTGCACATCCTTGTGCGGACCAAATTGTCCAATCTACGAGAAGAACCACCGAGGCAGCGCTCTGAGCCAGTATTAAAGATCCGTGGCCACCCCGATGAAGTGGACTTCATCTTCCTCACAATCTGAGATGCCCCCTTACTGCAGGCCCTTAGTTTTATTGTGCTTGATAGCCAGAGACGCAGAAGGGGCAAAGTAAAATAGAATTTCACTGGATGATAGACCTTGATTTTGACTCCAGAGGGGCCAGAAATGGTGCATCAACGTGGGTGGTCACCGGACAGGCAAGGCACAGGTCATCTCTGATGACTAAGTGGTCATGCTTCCTCATGTTGGGCAAGAGAGGGTAGTCTGGAAACAAAAAAATAAGTTGGGGGACTTTACATATCACATCAAGATGATGAGGATGGGATCTGAGCCCCTAAAAGGAAAAGACCATGTCTTTCGGATCTGGACCCCAAAAAGGGAAATCCTTTGACTGTCCCAAATCCCTGGCGTTGGCCTGAGGCTGTGGTCCACTCAACTGGCCTTTCATGGTGGCTATGCCCAATCTCCCAATTCTCTTACCTCCCAGTTGACCCTGGCCACTTCCCACCCTTAATCCTCTCTAGACTCCATTCTCCCTTGGCCATTCCTGCATGGTCCTGTTCCCTGATGTTCTGTTCACCCCAGTTTCCTGGCCACTCCCATCCAGATCCACCTTACACCCCTCCTCCAGTCACCCCAAACTAGTTGGCCACTAGATCCCTCTCACAGTCTTTCTATATAAGGTCCATCTTGTCTTCATTAAAATGCTCAGATTCTTAAGCTCTGGCCCATTTGCATTAGTGATACAAATGCTTAGATTCCTTAAGAGTCTGGCCAATATGACAGATGTTCTATTAAACCTTGTCTTTGGCTGAAAGAAGGCTTGGGTCGAATTCTTTGAAGCAGGACCCGTGGGTCATGATTTTGGGCTCCCAGCACCTCTAAACCTCAACAAAGACTGTGCAGGGAATAGTACTCAGTCCCCAAAAGGGTGGGGGTCCTCTAGTTAGCATACTTGTGGTTAGGCAAGTGAACTTTATAACAATTGTGAACTTTATTTATAACAAGTTAATGAACAGTGAATTTACAGCTTGTAGTTAAAGTTTGGGACCTAATATAAGAAAGAATCTATCTAACCTTATATAATTATTCCTGTATCTAAAAATGTGTAAAACATGTTGATATATGTAATTCCTAAACTTGTGTAGATGACTGACTAAATATATGTTAGTGCATAAGTATACTGCTAATAATTGCTAACAATGACTGTCCCTAAGGAATCACACTAAGCTACTAGTGTAGATCGAAGATAAGTTTGGGTCTCAATGAGTCATTTCCCTCATCCTAGTGAAGTGTGTTTTATAAGTCTTTGTGTCTCTGTCTGGACTTCTGTGCGTGGGAAGATGCATGGCGACATCCAAAAAAGTGATCACCAATTGGCCAGTGTTGTGGTATTTACTGACCCCCGTGCTAGGTCCTAAGGCCTTCCTTGTTTCTCCTACAGTGTCAGCTACGAGGGGCTTTTTAAATATGATATTTCTCGATTGAATGAAATTCATTCCTCACTTTTGTGTCCAAGATCTGTGATTATCTCACAAGGCACTGAATGACAACGTGTGGAATACGTGTTTGTGGACATTCTGGTGTCTGTGTATGTGACCTACATACACGTTAAGGAGATGAATGTTTAAGCATGGCAGGCATGGTGTGTTGGGAGCCTGTGCGTGCTTTGAGGGTCTTAGTGTGAGTTTAAAAGTTTGGACATATTTGGGGAAAGGGGAACTAATCTTACTAGCCCCACACCCAAGTGCGCACTGCTCCTGGCTTTTTGCCGTGGCCGCAGTAGGTCATCATCACATGATTGTTGACCCCTGCCTTAGATCATATTTCTCCATCCATGTGAGGCAGTCAGGGTTTCTTCTGTTTGAAGTATTGCACACAGTCTGCATGTCAGGGCCTCTGGATGGCTCAGAGAACCCTGTGTGATTGTGACTCCTTGCTCCCTCCTGCTATCTCCATCTTTTTTTCTGGCTCAGCTAGTGTCTGGTAGAGTCCTCAGGCCCAGCCGGCAGCAGCAGAGGTGCAGGGTCCAGCTGGGGATGGGGATCTGAGTCCCAGCGTGAAGGGCCCATTTAAAGGGACCTTGTGTTTCTGCTCCCAGGCCTCAGTTTCCTGGAAGGTGAAGGGTGTAAAGGACATTTCCAATGTCCTGGATAAGCAGGCCCCCCAGGAGGCGACTCCTGCCCTGAGATCTTCCCCCACAGCTCGAAGGCAGTGCCGGAGGTGAAGGAGCAGCCCCTGGCACTGCCGATGGGGCAGTGACTCCGGGCAGAGAGGCATTGGAGTGAGGGCTGAGCAGGGAGAGCCCAGCCAGGACCAGCAACCATGGCGGAGTGGGCTCCAGGACCGGAGGAGACAGGAGGTGAGCATCTCAGAAGTGTTGGGGGAAGAGCCACCTGGCCAGTGTGGGAGGCAGGGAAGTAGCTGCCTCAGGGGACAGCTGTGAGAAAAAGGTTTATGTATTTATTTTTCCATCAGTTTCTTTTAAGTCTTTCCCAATTTTAATTTGGCTCCGGCTTCACTGAGCTGTGCTGTGGGCTACGTGAGGCCCTTGTGTTTGACGCCTCTGATCCAGAGTATGGGATTGACAATGGAGAGGGGTTGGGGGTAAGGGAGTCTAGTGAGGGCTTTGATTCGGAGCTGTAAGGCAGGGTTCATCTCCTTCATGGCTTCTTTCTTCTTGTTCAGCTTGGCCTACACATGAGGAGGGAATGAATTCTGGGTTCCTGACATTGAGGATTCAGGTGAGTTTGAATGTACTCTTTCTTCCTGTGTACCATGTTGTGCCATATAGCTTCCCAGTGGAACATTTCTTTCCATAATCTTCAGTATTCCCAGTTCACTATGTCCCAGGATTTGAATGATGCAGGTCTGGAATATTCTGTTCAATTTGCTACCCAATTTTTTGGCAGTGCCATTGATACCCAGGAGAGTGCTAAGGTTATAGAAGATTACTTGGTTGATATGACAACAAAAATAATTTTTGGATGAGCTCCTGATTATTATTTTTAAATTAGTTTATTTTTAGTTTTCAACATTCACTTCTATAAGATTTTGAGTTTTAAATTTTCTCTGACACCTTCCCCTCCCCCTTCCCCAAGATGGTGCACAATCTGATATAGGCTCTACATATACATTATTATTAAACATATTTTCACATTAATCATGTTGTAAAGAAGAATTAGAACCACAAGAAAGAAGAAACAAAACAAAAAAAGAGAGAGAGCAAATAGTGTGCTTCGATCTGCATTCAAACTCCATAGTTCTTTCTTTGGATGTAGATAGCATTTTCCATCTTGAGTCTTTTGGAGTTGTCCTAGATCCTTGTATTGCTGAGAAGAGCTAAGTATCAAAGTCAGTCATCACACAGTGTGGCTGTTACTGTGTACAGTGTTCTCCTGGTTCTGCTCACTTGACTCAGCATCAGTCCATACAAGTCTTTCCAGGTTTTTCTGAAGTCTGCCTGCTCATCATTTCTTATAGCACAATAGTATTCCATTACATTCATATGCCACAACTTGCTCAGCCATTCCCCAGTTGATGGGCATCCCCTCAATTTCTAATTCTTTGCCACCACAGAGAGAGCTGCTATAAATATTTTTGTACACGTGGGTCTTTTTCTCATTTTTATGATTTCTTTGAGATACCGCACTAGAAGTGGTATTGCTGGGTCAAAGGGTATGCACATTTTTATAGCCCTCTGGGCACAGTTCCAAATTGCTCTCCAGAATGGTTGGATCAGTTCACAACTCCACCAGCAAGTCATTAGTGTTCCAGTTTTCCCACATCTTCTCCAGCATTTATCATTTTCCTGTTGTGTCATGTTAGCCAGTCTGATAGGTGTGATGCTCCTGATTATTTTTATCAAGCAAAGTTTCAAAGGAGACTGTGTTTGCTACTATCATGGAAATTCTTCTGCCCAGGGCTATCATAAAAAGGCTTATCTGCAGGAGGTTTTCCAAATACTTTTTTTTTTGGTGAGTCTATCATTGATACAGTTTCCTTCAGACGGTACACATTAGAGAACCTTCTGAAAGAGAAATACAACCCTCAGTAGAGTTTGGCCTAACCATCATCAAAGGAAAAACCAAGGTGGGGAAGAAGGCCTGTTACTCAGACTATGATAGCCAGTTGTATGGACTGGTCATAGAGCTGGTCTATAAGCTCATCTAATTTGTTCAGAACTGGACCCAAAACACCTGGTGGAGGTGAATGGGCTGAATTGGGAAATTATGTAGTTCTGTGAATGACACAGGATTTTGCTTGAAACAAAAGCATTAGTGTTTCTGGTAGTAAAGCAAAGAATAGCACTAACTCTGAAGAATTCCTATTTGGGTCCAACTGAAGGGCATCAGAAGGTCATGGGTTGGGGGTCAGTAGGTCAATAGGGGGTCTGTTGCCAGTCAAAAACGACATGGCAGAAGCAGCACAAAAAGTCATCAACAGAAAAAATCTGACCAGACGACAACATGGGCTGGTGATGGGCTGGGGAATGAAGGCCGAGGGAGGAGAGCCTGTGGCGTCCTGATTGGCCTCCTTCTGGAGGCTTTCCTGGGAGGAGGGGCACAATGGCCAAGCATGCTAAGAAGGCTTGGATGGATTAACAACCTTTACAATTGGATCATGAACAAACAAAGCACCTACTAAGTGCTCATCACTGTGCTTAGCTGGGATACAGAGGTATAAGACAGGCCCTGCTTTCAAGGAGCTCACAGCTCACATGGGGGAGACAGCATCTGTGAAGTCAGATAGACCCCACGGTTGTTTTTTTTCCCTTTGACTGGGCAGTGGGATTAAGTGACTTGCCCAGGCTCACACAGCTAGTAAGTGTTATGTGTGTGAGGCCGGATTTGAACTCAGGTCCTCCTGAATCCAGGGCCGGTGCTCCATCCACTGCGCCACCTAGCTGTCCCAACCCCATGGTTCTTAAGGTGTGGCAGCAAAGCCCAATGGTAGGGCCTCTTCTTTAATGTCATTTCCATTAGTGAAATCAAATCAGCTTCCGATTTTGAGCCTTTTGTCAGTACCTGAGACTCACAGGGACTAGACCTTGCTTTTCTGGGTCTTCAGTTGCTGTGGCCCCAGCCCCTGCAGGAACAGTGGCCAGACTACATCTCCACAGGGGCTGCTTTCCAGGATGATGGTTGGGGACGCTGGGATAGAAGCATTGCCATCCGCAAGGCAATTCCCAGGGGTTCAGGGTTCTGCGCAGTCTCCTCAGGCTCTGAGGGGAGATGGCGGTCAAGGTGATGGTCATGGTTTGTGCGCTGATCACGAAGGTCAGAGTACCATTGAAATCTGGAGAAAAGCTCTCCCTTGAAACTTTGCTCAGTTCTCTGTACATTATCTGTAGTTAATTAATATTATCATAACGTGAGAAGCAGAATTTTGTTCCAGATCTCCACAGGACAAGGGAGACAGTAACCTTAGAGTCCAGCAGACTGCTATTAGTGCTTAGACCTGGGGAGAACTCTTAGCCTTTCCTGGGCTAAGGGTTGCTTCCCTTCTAAGTCTGGACAGAATAAGTTGATTAGTAATGGAGAACAATTGTTATAATGCTAGAAATTGTATTTGGAGCATGATTGCCAATATTCCTATCGAGTGTTGAATAGAGGTTGATTCTGTGCTTTGGTTTGGGGCTTTAGGAGCAAAATGATTGCTTTTCTTGGGCCACCTGGAGAGAGATTTTTGTCAAGATGAACTTGAGCGCTCCAGGGAAACTATGTATGTGCTGCTGAGTGTAGTACAAACTGAGGCATGTAAGGAATCAGGAAATATTTGGAAGAATCATCTTTGGTTCAGCAGGAATGTGTTTGACTCAGGAATCAGTGACCTTCAGGGACGTGGCCGTGGACTTCACCGGGGAGGAGTGGAGCTGCCTGGATGCTGCCCAGAGGGCCCTCTACAGGGACGTGGTGTGGGAGACCTACGAGAGCCTGGTCTTTCTGGGTAAGCACGACTGTCTTTGTGACTCAGAATCCATCCACGAGGGTATTTGCATTTTCCTTGATGCAGGTCGTGAGAGGTCTCAACGGCTCAGCTGAGGGTTGCCTTATTGTGCAAGAATATGTAATATTGTTATGTGGGAAGAGTCCCAGATCTTTTATGTCCACAGATAGTGTTTCTGTTCTGTAGATCCAGGTGAAATTGTACAGATGGAAATCCCAAAGTTCCCTTTTGTGCTGGCTGTCAGGCTATAGCTTCCCTACTTCATGGACTCTTAGGTCGATGATTCTTGCTAAATCACCAGGAGAATAATGAGGCTGCTTCCTCCAGGAAGTCTTCCCTCCCCTCCTCTCCTGGGAGCACTTTTCCTAGAGCTTTGCTTTGCATGGTTTTCACTCTCCCCATGAGGCAAACAGGGACCATGTTTTAGCTGAACTCGGTGTCTCTCCCATCACATCCTTTGTCTATGTTGTTCAGTTGTTCAGTCCGACTCTTTCTGACCCCATGGACTTTGTCCATTCATGGGGTTTTCTTGGCAAAGATATTGGAGTGCTTTGCCATTTCTCTCTCCAGTGTGTCCCCCTTTTATAGATGAGGAAATGAGGCAGACAGGTTAAGTGAGTTGCCCAGGGTCACACAACTCGTAAGTGTCTGAGACTGGATTTGAACTCACGTCTTCCTGACTCCAGGCCTGGTGCTCTGTCCACTGCACTGCCTAGCTGCCCCTCTTCTGTCTATATTAAGCAGTAAAGAACTTGTAGATTAATATTTTTGACAATCTCAAGTTGGATGAAAGTTCATAGGCCAGACCACATAATCTTGTGGCTCAGGGAGCTCCAGGGGATTCTGTGGTACCTAAAGCCTTTTCCAACCTAACTCCAAACATCCTTTCCATGCTTATTACGCATTCTTCCTACTTCGGCCACTCTAGGGTCCAGTTGGTCAGTAAACATTTATGAAGCACCTACTGTGTACCTGGCTTCCTTCCTGTCCTCCCACAGGACACTCCACCTTCTCTCTCTCCATACCTTTGTGTGACCTCCTCAGTGAAGCCCGTCCTCATCCCCACTGCTGCCAATGCCTCGGTCCCAAAATTACCTCGTTTTCCTTTCAACATTTTTTTTACTCATAGACGTATATGTTGTTTTCCTCCATTGGCATTAATGCTTGTGGTCTTGTCTTGTCGGCATTGCCTGTTCCAGTGCTTGGTGCATAATAGATGCTTATCGAGCACCTGACAATTGATTGTGTCCCTAAATCTCAGCTGAGATCTGTGAAAAAGTCTTAATTTCTCAGCAGAGTGTGGCCCCATGAACTGGTTTTCTTTCTGAGGCTAGTTTGGATCTGTGACTCGTCCTTGGGTGGGTCACAGCTCTGTAAGGTCTCTCCGGTGATGCAGATTGTACACCATCCAGGCTTGACCACGCCCTCCCATATGCTTGCTGTGTGGGTCCCCTCCCAACGTGCTGGAGGCCACCCTCCCTTTCCTTGACATTATGAGTAGATACTTGGTCTGTCATCTGGAGCCCTCAGTGCATGAGTGGTCCTTCTTATCATGCATTTCCTTGGGACGTGCTTTATTCCTGGTTTGTGACTTCCTCGCTGGCCGTGTGCACAGCTTGTTCTGACCCTCCATTGATTAGCCTCTTCGTTGCCCTCCATGCGATATCCACGTTTAGTTCTTTCCACCTGGTACTCCAGTGCTGGTTCGTATTAAAAAGAATGAGTCCACCGTGGGGGCCATAAAAAGAACTTGGCAATTTCCCCAAGGCAATCCTGCTTCCTCCACAGATGTTCACAACTGTGGTAGTGGATAGTGGGGTCCTCCCTCACTGGATAACATGGTGCTGAATGCATCAAGCCCTAAAATGTCTAGAGCACTCTGGACAAGCTTGACAAGCACTCTAAAAGGTTTGGTCTCTGCATCCACAGAGGGAAAAACAAGTGGATAAAGGATGACATGCATTTGGATGGCAACCTGCAGGGCTTGTCCACCCCGTGGACAGTACAGGTGGACAAGTTCTTGGACCTGGCCTTGTGACTCATCTTTGTCCCTGAGAATACACAACAAAAGTGTACGCTCCAAAAAGCCTTTGTGCCACTCATTGGGCTTTCTTCGCTGCCTGCTTCTCCATGAAGAGAATCGAATTCCCAGACACTTTGCAGTCCCCATCAGTTTCTCATTTGCCTCCCGCTGTTTAGGAATTCCTGTTTGTCCACTGGACGTGATCTTCCTGTTGGCGGGGAGGAGAAGCACCAGGGAGGTCCAAGGGAGAAGTTCACAGAGGCCTTTGTCCAGGTGAGTCACTGAAAGCAGCCTCCGCCTTGATCCATTCTGTGGTCCTGCTCTTTTTTTTTTAAATTTATTTATTTTGATTTATCAACAATCACTTCCATATGCTTTTGAATTTAAAATTTTTCTCCCCCTCCCTCCCCACCACCCTCTCCAAGACGGCACACAATCTGATATAGGCTATACATATGCATTCCTATTAAACATATTTTCACATTAGTGATGTTGTAAGGAAGAATTAGAACCAATAGGAGGAACCACCAGAAAGAGGAAACGAAACACAACAGAAGGAAAAAAAAGCAAATAGCGTGCTTTGATCTGCGTTCAAACTCCATAGTTCTTTCTTTGGATGTGGAGAGCATTTTCCATCATGAGGCCTTTGGAGATGTCTTGGATGCTTGTATCGTTGAGAAGGGTTAAGTCTATCGATATTCGTCATCGCACAGCGTGTCTGTTACAGTGTATACCATTCTCCTGGTTCTGCTCACTTCACTCAGCATCAGTCCATGCCAGTCTTTCCAGGTGTTTCTGAAGTCTGCCTGCTCATCATTTCCTATATCACAACAGTATTCCATTACATTCATATACCACAGCTTGTTCCGCCGTTCCCCGGTTGATCCGCATCCTCTCCATTTCCAGTGCTTTGCCACTGTGGTCTCACTCTTGCAGTGGTGTCACTGAGTCCCACAGTGTGACTGGTGGGTCTTTCTCTTATTATTCACGGCTTTCTCGCTTTCCGAAAAAGCCTGCTCCGTTTTGTAGTTCTACCAGTTGGATAACATCATGCCTACATCTCCACAGTCCCGCTGGCATCACGTTCTGTAGTTCTGTGAATTTAGGAGATTTCATGCTGTGTTTTTGGGATGTTTTCTATAATTTTGAATTTTCATGATTATTGGAGCATTTGAACAGTCTTCTTGTGGCTGTTGCCAATTTGTGTTCTTTTCAAAGTGTTTTTGAAATCTTTGCTCACATCTTGTTTTTCCTCACCTTCATTTTTTCCTTTTGAATTTATTTTCTATTCTGAATTTCACAAATACCAATAAACACGAATGCACCCGTATGTAAAGAACAGAATATGAACCTATGACTCTCTGACATGTTCAGTTTTTTCTTTTTTAAAAAGTATGAAATAAATGCGGCACATTAGTTTCAGAACTCTTCTGCTTGTGTCTCCTGAACCTCCCTCCAGGCCCTTTGCATCCTTTTAATTCTTCATTAGCACAGTTTTTTTCTTTTACTCTGTTTTTGGGCATCACTGTCTCATACCGTGACCCTACCCTGTTATTCTTGCCCCACCCCTTCCAAAAAAAAATCTTTTTTTTTTAAATTTTAATTTAATTTTTTTTTTAGGCAATTGGGGTTAAGTGACTTGCCCAGGGTCACATAGCTAGTAAGTGTCAAGTGTTTGGTCTGAGGCCAGATTTGAACTCAGGTCCTCCTGACTTCAGGGCCGGTGACTGCGCCACCTAGCTGCCTCCAAAAAATCTCCCTTTTTTAGCACATAATTGTACTCAATTAAAACACATGGTGGTCCTGTCTGAAAATGTATATTCTGAACCTTTTACTTTACCTTCATTTTCTGTTTTTTAATACATTTGGCTTATTCTACGCTTAAATGCCAAAAAAAGAGAAAGCATTCCCATCTGCAAAGTAGAACACAAAAAGATGTTTGCATATAAAACTATAGATCTCTCCCTCACACAATTTGCTTTAACAATAACAATAACAATAAGATCTGTCATTTGTATAGCACTTCGTATGTGCTAGGCACTATGCTAAGTGCCTCATGATTATTATCACTCACAGTAACCCTGGGAGGTAGTTGTTATTATCATCTCCATTTTACAGATGAGGAAACTGAGGTAAACAGAGGTTAAACGACTTGCCCAGGGTCACACCGCTAGTAAGTGTCCACGGTCAGATTGGAACTCAGGTCTTCCTGATTCTGGACCCAGAGCTTTATCCACTGCACCACCTAGCTGCTTCTTAAAAGATATATTAAAAACATAATAAACTACAGAGTTATCTTTCTTGTGTTTTGACTCCTTTTGGACTTCTGTTCTCTTTTGTCCGTTTTCTTTTAGATGCTGTGGTGACCCCTATTGCTTTTTTCTTTGGCTACCACTACCACTGATCCCTTTTCCTGCTCTGAATGCAAAGAAGAAAACAAACAAATAAGTGTAGTGAGCCAAAACCAAGCTGCGCTGGCCACATCAGAAAATGTGCCTGAGCCAGTCACTTCCCTGTTAGTAGTGATCATCAGTCTGATGGAGTTGTGGTGGTCATTGCTTTGATCCGAGGTCTCACATCTTTGAGGTTTTATTTTTTACAACAGTGGTTCTTATTTTTTGTATCGTGGATCCCTTTGGTGGTCTAGTGAAGCCTATAAGCCCATACCCAATATAGTGTTTTTAAATGCATAAATATATAGGATTACAAAGGAAATCAATTATTTTGAAATACTTATCAAAATATTAAAAGAAGTCTTTCAAAGTTGTTTTCTTTACAATGTTGTTTCTGTGTAACATTTTCTCCTGGTTCCACTCACTTCACTATGCATTAGTTCATATATTCCATTCTAATTATATTGATTTTGTTTGTGTAAAACATTTTCTCTACTCCTTTATGGTTATGAACTCTTGCCCTGTCTGTAGGTGTAAGAGATATTTTTCTTTCCTTGTTCCCCTAATTTGTCTATGGTGTGAACTTTTAAATCTATGTTATGTATGCATTTGGAGGTTTTCTAGCTTTGTGGTGTGAGATGTTGATCTGTGCCTAATTTCCGTTAAACTACAGCCCTTTTCAGTTACATCTTTCAGTCAATGGCTGCTTTCAGCCTCTCACAATATGTTCCATTCATTTTTACAAACTGCAACGTCTGGACTGCTAGAAGTTTGAAAATGCTTGTAACCTTTATCCTACTTACTCCTTCCCATCCTCCAACGCCCACCCCCAACGAAACATAGTCTGATTTTTGTTTTTTTCTCTCTGCAGATGCACTATTTTTAATTGCATGTATGTTTCAATTTTCTATAATCAGTGTTTCCATGATTACTTTGTTTTCTTGAAAAGATAATAGCATATCACCTTTCCATTTTTGAGAAAGATTTATTTCTTTACATGTCACAGAATCACAGAAGTTCAGAGTTGAATGGAACCTTATTGGCTATCTAGTACAACCCATATCTGATAAGAATACCTTCTGCATCATAAGTGAGAAGTGACCATGCCACTTGTACTTGAGGACTTTCAGTGACAGGAAGCCCACTACTTCCTAAGGCGGATTGTTTCTCTTTGAGAAAGCTCTAATTATTATAAAGTGCATCAACCCAAATTTGCTTCTTAAATCTCCCAGTTCTGTCCTTTGGGATCAAGTATGATACCTCCTCCATATGAGATCTCTTCAAATGATTGGCCTGGGGCAAGAGCCTTAACCTCTCTGTATTTTGGAATTCCATACCTGGGAGGAAGGGGGAAGAGGGGAGGGAGCTTTCTCTAGGCCATATTCCCAGTGATTTCAGCTGACCCCTGAACGGGCCTCCAGAGCCATTCACCATTCCCGGTGCCCTCCTTTGGATGTTCTCCAGTTTATCAATAACCCTGTCATACTAAGAATAGAACACAGTCCTCCAGATATGTGTGACCCAAGCAAGGCTGAACTTTTGGGTTCTCTACTCTGACTCTCTTTTAACCTAAGATAATATTAGCTTTATTGGCTGCTATGTGTAAGTGCTTTACTTAAGTTGGGCCAGCTTCCATGTGGCTAAAATCACTGGACCTTTTTCAGATGAACTGCAATTTGAACATCCCTCCCATGTTTTACCTTTGCTGAGATGTTTCTGAATTGAAATATAGGACTTTATACTTATCACTGTTATATTTTTATGAGTTGCTAACCCATTGATTTACCCTTTTAGAATCTCTTTGGATACTAACTCATCTATTTGTTAGCTATCACTCCAAGCTTTGTATTATTTGCAAATTACACTGACTGTGAATGTGATTTCATTCACGTTACTGATAAATTTTTTAAATGAAGCCTGATTTCAGTAAAAATGGCCCTTTAATCTATGAAAATCGAAAATTGATAACCTGCTCTATTTTGTATTATTTTAATAAGACTTAGTCAGTTTATGAATTAATGATCAATCCACTATGTATTGGGTATTCCCCTCATTAGGTGAGTTTCAGCTCCCTTAAGCCTGTAACTTCAGTTTCCTATTGTGAAATTTGAAAATTGATAGTCCATGATTATTGATTGAAAATTATATCTAATCAGTGTAGCAAATTGATATTTGTGAATCAAATTCAGACTTGATTGTATAAGGCCTGTTTATAAATTTGTAAGAGTTTAACTCCTCTATTCCTGTGGACTAAAGTCCAGCCACAATGATTCAAATCTGTGCGCTCTTGCTGACCATGAAGGGAGATGAGTCAGTCAGGATGTTTGCCTACAATGGGACTTTCCAAAGGATGTTAGTCAGGGATGTTGGTCCACCTGGGGAGGAACTGATGTAAACAGCACCAACCAATCAGGAGTGCAGTATAACTGTAAATGCTATGAAAGAGTTGTTCTGAGTGTCAGGTATATCCTGGACTACTGAGGGGTTTTGGAACCAATTTATTGGTATTTGCTAGTCATACTAATAAGTTGTTCAGGCTTAGAACTTTGTACCTCAGTTTTTCCTTAACACAGATTTTTATTACGACAAATCTTTTAATTCTCAATATATCAAATTTTAGCCTTTGTAATTTAAATTTATAGAAAACTTTTTACAAATCGAGTTGAAATTTGCTATGTATTCCTCTCTTCTTGGCTGCTTTTGAAGTCATCTTGCCCTTACTTTATTGCAGATGGACAATAATGGATTTCTGTGATTTGAATTTGATATTCACTCTATTTGGTAGTCAGTAGATTTTCTGTTGAATCTGTCTTTTTTCAATATTTTTTTGAAATTAAAAATCACTAAACTATATTGGTTCTATTTTTTTGTTTTTAGCAATTTTGGAAGAGCCCATTAATTCTTAGGTTCACCAGAGATCTGTTAGTTTTATTTGTATAGATTCCAAGTTAAATAAATTTCTAATTGAAGAATTTTCTGAGCTAGTTTTTCTCATTGCTGTGTGGTTTTACACTCTTCTATTCTGCAGAAAATAATTTTGGTTTTTTCTGTGTTGTTTTTAATGACATCTAAAAGTGCTTTAATTTCTCTAAACTCTAATTCATTTAGTCCTGGGCACCTAGGTACATGTTACTGTCTCCTCTGTCCTTTGATTTCAGTTCCTTCAAGCTGTGGTTTTTTGTGTGTGTGGGTAGGGGGAGGGGTTTCCTGCTTGGTCCAGCTTGAGCACCATTCTCCTTAGTAGAGAATTAGAAACTAGAATGTGTTCTAAAGTAGATTCCTTTCCCCTGCCAAAGCTAACAATAACTAGTGACCTTTGTCTCTTATTTCTTTCAGATTACCTTCATGAGAACAGGTTTGAAAGCAAGGACTCAAGTCTGATGCAGGGCATTTGCATGGGAGCATCATTTGAGAAAAAGCTGCCAAAAGAGACACTAGTCGGGCATTCCAAGATGAGAGAAGCTAGGGAATGTGGTGTCAATGTGGAGAAACAGAAGTACAAGCAGGAGAGACAACCCAGACAAGTAACAGTTACTCCCAGAACAACTTTTAATAAAATGATCCTACCTCAGTGTTCCACATTTGGGAGAAATTTTAGTCTGAGATCAGTCTTGATTTCACTGTGCAGAGAGATGATGGGAAAATGTCTCCATCAATGTAAGACACATGGAATGAGCTTCCAGAATTATCCTGGTCTAATTCCACATAATAGACTTTCCATAGGGAAGAACCTTTCTAAGTATAACAAATTCAGGAAGCCCTTCAGTTACCACTCAGACCTAGTTAAATTTCATAGGATACATGCTGGAGGTAAGTTAGCATGTATTAAATACAATGAATATGAGAAAGCCCTCAGCTACAGACAGAGCCCAGCTAAACAAAGGATTCATATTAGAAAGAAATCCTTTGCATATAATGAATGTAAGAAAGACTTTACTTGGAAGGCAAATCTTATTTGCCACCAGAAAAGTCACACTGAAAAGAAACTCTTTGATTGTAATGAATGTGGAAAAGCCTTCAGCTGGAGGGATCACCTTGTCAGACACAAGGGAATTCATACTGCAGAGATACCTTTTTCATGTAATGAATGTGGGAAAGCCTTTAAGCATTGGTCAAATCTTTTTACCCATCAGAGAACTCATACAAGAAAGAAACCCTTCAATGAATGTGGAAAAGCCTTCAGTCAGAGAGAAATACTTAAAAACCATCAAAGAATTCATACAGGAGAGAAATGCTTTGCATGTAATGAATGTGGAAAAGCATTTAGGTACAATTCTAGCCTTATTACTTGTAAGAGGACTCATACTGGAGAGAAACCTTTTTTGTTTAATGAATATGGAAAATCCTTCAGTGATTCTGTAGTACTCAAAAGCCATCAGAGAACACATACTGGAGAGAAACCCTTTTCATGTGATGAATGTGGGAAGGCTTTCAGCCAGAGTGAAATACTCCAAAGCCCTCAGAGAAGTCATACCGGGGAAAAATCTTTTGCATGTAGTGAATGTGAGAAAGCCTTTAGGCATAGATCGAGCCTTACTATCCATCAAAGAACTTATATTGGGGAGAAACCCTTTGCATGTGATGAATGTGGGAAAGCCTTCAGTAAGAGTGAAGTACTCAAAAGCCACCAGAGAATTCATACAGGAGAGAAACCCTTTGCATGTAATGAGTGTGGAAAAGCATTTAGGTACAATTCCAGCCTTATTACCCATCAGAGAACGCATACTGGGGAGAAACCCTTTGAATGTAATGAATGTGGGAAATCCTTCAGTGAAAGTGTAGTACTCAAGAGGCATCAGAGAACTCACACTGGAGAGAAACCTTTTGCATGTAGTGAATGTGGAAAATCCTTTGGCGATAGTGTAGTACTCAAAAGCCATCAGAGAACTCATACTGGAGAGAAACCCTTTGAATGTAATGAATGTGGGAAAGCATTTAGCCAGAGGGGACATCTTATTACCCATCATAGAACTCACACTGGAGAGAAACCTTTTGCATGTAATGAATGTGGGAAAGGTTTCCGAAATAGGACAAACCTCATCACTCATCGGAGAACTCATACTGGGGAGAAACCTTTTGCTTGTAGTGAATGTGGGAAAGCTTTCAGCAGGAGGGAACATCTTACTAGACATCAAAGAACTCATACTGGAGAGAAACCCTTTGCATGTAATGAATGTGGGAAAGCGTTTAGGCACCGGTCACACCTTATTACTCACCAGAGAACTCATACTGGAGAGAAACCTTTTGTGTGTAATGAATGTGGGAAAACCTTCAGCCAGAGTGAAATACTCAAAAGCCATCAGAGAATTCATACTGGGGAAAAGCCTTTTGCATGTAGTGAATGTGGGAAAGCCTTTAGGCATAGGTCAAGCCTTATTATCCATCAAAGAACCTATGTTGGGGAGAAACCCTTTGCATGTGATGAATGTGGGAAAGCCTTCAGTGAAAGTGAGGTATTGAAAAGCCATCAGCGAATGCATACTGGAGAGAAACCCTTTGAATGCAATGAATGTGGGAAAGCCTTCCGCCATAGAGGACATCTTATTAATCATCAGAGAACCCATAGTGGAGAGAAACTCTTTGCATGTAGTGAATGTGGTAAAGCCTTCAGTGAAAATGAGTTACTCAAAATTCACCAGAGAAGTCATACTGGTGAGAAACCTTTTGAATGTAATGAATGTGGGAAAGGCTTCAGCAGGAGGGAACACCTTATTAACCACCAGAGAATTCACACTGGAGAGAAACCTTTTGCATGTCATGAATGTGGGAAGGGCTTCAGCCAAAGGGGGAATCTTATTACCCATCAGAGAACTCACACTAGAGAGAAACCCTTTGCATATAGTGAATGTGGGAAAGCTTACATTGAGAGTGTAGTTCTCAAAAACCATCAGAGAACTCATGCTGAAGAGAAGTCCTTTGAATATGATGAATGTAGGAAAGGTTTCAAGTATAGTACAAAACATTTCTTATCAGCAAACTGATGCTGGGGGAGAAACCCTTTCTGTACAATTAACATAAGAAAGTCTTATCAGCAAACTGATGCTGGGGGAGAAATCTTTTCTGTACAATTAACAAAAGAAAGTCTTCAGTGAGAATAAAGTACTCAAGTTATTAGAGAACTCTGTGCAGATAAGTCCTTTGTAATGAGTGTGTGGAAGCTTTCTGCAGAAGGAACCACATTATTATTAATCACAGAAGTCATTGGAGAGAAACCATTTACATTTCTATGAATTTGGGGAAGGCTTCAGTGAAGAGGGAAGTACTCAAAATCCATTAGAGAATGTATACTAGTGGGAAACCCTCAGTATAATGGATTTGGGACAAGTATCACTAAAGGGGATATCTGAAAATCTAATTAACCACCAGAGAACCCATACTGGAGAAAATTCTTTGTATGTAATTAATGTAGGAAAGCCTTTAACCAGCTCAGGAGTGGAACCTTTTGAATTGTATTTACCTGTCAGCAAATCTTATTTCCCATTTAAGAAATCATGCTAGAAACTTTTCAAATGTAATGAACATGAGGAAGTCTGTAGACAGACCTTATCAGAGAGATTGAAATATTTTGAAAATGTAATAAAATGAATAATTGCTAATAATCCCATGTTTTATGTGTCTTGGGGAGGGGGTCCTATAAAATAACTGAGAAATCTTTTTTGACCCTGTTGAAGTTAACATTTTACCAATGTCTCATTAAAGGGCACAGGTGGCATATTCATCAACTTTGCACATAAAACAAGGCTTAGTGGGATAGTTAATACACTGGATGCCAGAATGAGGAGGCAAAAGATTAGAGCATTTGGGCTGAATCTAATAAGATGAAATTTGATGGGGAAATAAGTAAAAAGTTGGGTGCTAGAGTATTAAGAAAACACTGAAAGAAGGTAGGAGATTAGACAGCAGTTGTGAAAAAAAAAGGTGGGAGTTTTGTGATCTACAAGCTCAGTATGAGCCATGGTTGTAAATTTTGTTGTTTAATTGGTCATATCTGAATGTGACCCCATTTGTGGTTTTATTGGCAAAGATACTGACATTGTTTGCCATTTTCTTCAGCTCATTTTACAGATGAGGAAACTGGGGTAAATAGTATTAAGTGGCTTGCCCAGGGTTACACAGCTAGTAAGTGTCTGAGGCCATATTAGAACTCAGGTCTTCTTGACTACCGGCTCAGCACACCATCCTGCCCCATGTTGTGGCCCTTGGATTGTAATATGGCAGCCAGAAAAAACCCAGGTGCAATCATGGCCTGCACTGAGGAGCATAACTTTCAGGAATTGGGAGATAAGTTACCCTGTCCTCTTCCCTTATCAGACTTCCCTTACTGCAATTCTTGTGGTCATTTCTGGACAATATAAGAAGGATATTAATGAGCTTGAATATTAATAAGGTGGGAAACCAAAATGATGGAGCTTTGAATCCAGATACTTATCATTTGAGGAAACTGGTCATATTGAACCTAATGATGTTACTAACCTCATAGAGATTGGGAACATATATAGACTTCACCTAGGTATTAGCAAAATATTTTATAAAGTCTTGTGTTATTCTTGTGGGAAAAATAATGATTAGAGAATAGTACAGTTGACCAGATTGAAAAACTTATGTCATCAACCAAAAAAAGGTCATTAAAGATTTTATATAGGATTGGAATGCCTAAAGCAGGGACCTGCAATATTTTCCATATTTTTATCAGTGACTTGGATTAAGACATAGATGCTTGTCCAATTTTAAGGTAACACAAAATTTCTCCCCGTATCTCACCAGCTCCACTATGGAACTTCTCCATTGTGTCATCCTTCCCCAGGAAATTCATCATTGGGAAATCTCATTCTCCTGCAAGATGCAATCTGCCTGGTCCTCATGTCTCATTAGTATCCTCTGTGCCCCTCCTGCTCACTCCCCTCCTTGGACCCTCTGGCTGAAAGGCAGGGCCATCAACTCCAGGGCCTCTTTTTGACAGCAGCTCAGCACAGTCCTCCACATCCCACCATCTACATGGTTGTTGGATTTCATCATATCCTCACATACAGAGTGCTTCTGCCACCTTTCCCCCAACCCTTTTCAGCTTCCTTTTGTATGTTGTCTTCCATTAGATTGTAAGCTCCTTGAGGTCAGGGACTGTCTTTTGTATTTGTATCCCCAGGATCTAGCACTTGGCAGATGCTTAATATTTATTGACTGAGAAGGATAGCTAATATGTTGGATGATAGGAACCAGTAAGATTTAGATAATCTAGAATATTGAGCAGAATTTATTTTTGTATTCTGAGTTTAGACACCTATGACAGAAGGTATGTGAAGTGAATCTCTTTCATTCCACTTTTAAAATACATATATACGGCTATGTATGTATGTGTTTGCACAAAAACACAATAAATTCCATGTGTTATTTTCAAAACTATCCCGCTTGTCTATTTCCTTCTGAACTTCTGTGCATTTAAAAAAGATGTTTCAGTACCTTTCTTTTGGGGGGAATCGCTATTTCCAACTCCTCCCCCAACAACCCTCTGCCCAATTAAAAACCTAGAAAAAAAACAAACATAAAAACAAGCATAGTAAAGCAAAGTAATTCCATAGAGTGGCCTTGTCACAAAATATGTGTTGTTTTCTACAACTTGGGTTCATTACCTCTCTGTGAGAAGGTGGATAATGGTTTTCCTTCTAGGCCGTCTGAAGAGATGGTTGGTCATCACAGTGATGAGTCATTCAATCTTTCAGGTTTTCTTTACAGTGTTACCGTTGTATAAATTGCTCTAGTTCTGCTTGATTTGCTACATCAAGTGAGATTACCCAGGATTCTCTGCAATTGTCTCTCCAAGGATCCCTGCTATATTGCTCTTTCCACCCCCGGCCCCCCTCTCATCCAGTCCCTTGATCGTCCATTCAGGATCAGAACGCTTGTTTTGATGCCCCCACCATCCTCTTTCTTACCACCCCTGCTCTTACATCTTCCTGCTTCCTATGCTGAGTTTGGTGTATTTCCACACCAAACTCTGTGCTCACCCCTCCTTTGTCTATTTCAGACAATTTGTATGCATTCATCAAGCCAGAAAATTCCAAAACTGAATTAATTCTTTTCCTGAGGAATCGGCGGCATGGTTCCCGGCTGTCCATTCTAGCAGCTGCTCATTCAGGAGGGAAGAAGCAGGGCTTCGGCAAGGCACGTGGGAAGATTCCCTGGGTGCACAGCTAGGGATGGAAAGGGCCATCACATTCAGAGCTACCATTAGATGGAAGTAGAGTTGCGTTAGTCAGTGCTATGATGCCCGATGCCTGATAGAGGATTTTTTTTTAACCAAAATCATTGCAATGTTAGTTGTTAAGGAAAAATTTGCCTGAATTTAATTTTCCTTATCTTAAATTGAGTAGCAATCAACAAAAATATTAAATATGAAACTTTAAAAAAATGAGCATATATATATGATATTGTCATCTTTTTTTAGTTTAACATGGGATTTACTTTTTTCAGTTCATTCCCTTTCCATCTTTTGATCTCTTTTTCTTTATATTTATTGTAATGATGGAGTTTCTCATGTGATTATAGACAAGGTGTACGTTGTCCTTACTTTTAATTCTTCCCTCTGCATTATTTCATGGGCCCATGTTTCTTTTGAGTCTACACATAGGTAAACTTTATTTTGGGTGGCTTATCAGTAACCCATCATTTTCCTGAAACAGTTTGCTCAGCCATTCCCTCATTCATAGAAGACATAAGTTCCTTCCCTTTTTTCTATTATGCATAATTCTATGAATATTTTTGTACAAATAGGTGTCAGCCTCCTCCTTACTGCTATTATCTTCTGAGCTTTTGGACAAGAAAATGTGGTACATGGGATGGAATATTTCCCAACTTCAAGACTCATATCTTTATTTTATTGGAAAAAGTACATGATATCAGCTCTCTTTATGAAATGTCACCATAGGACTCATCTGTTCTCTCTTGTGTTTCATATTCCTCCTCCCCTACTTTGATGACCATCTTGTTTGCCAATGCATTTGGCTGTCATGGGGTTTCTTAGCTCCTCTTTCACACTTTCTACTGTCTATGTCTACCACTACTGCTTTGCAGAGCTCTCTTCATTCATGTCTTCCTTTCTTCTCTCCCCTTTTGTCACTACTTCTTCCATGCCTCTTAGGTTTGGCACACTAACCTCCTAAGAATCTAACTCTGACTACATGACAACATGCCATTCTAATTGGCTCCTCAAGAATTCTATAAGGATTTATAACCAGTCTTATTTATAGGGTACATGCCCAGCACTTGAAATATAAAAATAAAGATGTCCCTTTGACCAAAAGAATTTAATCAAGTAAGGGAAATAATAACATGTTTACAAATACCCAGAAATTGGAGAATAGGAGACATGCAGAGAACTGTGTTAGCTCTATTTGATTTTAACTCAATTCTCCAGCTAGTTGGAATCTTGGGTTTCTGTTTTAGGGCTACAGGACATCAGCTATCATCACTTTAAGGCACATATACCTAGTGAATACTAGGTATTAGAATCACTGGATTTAGTACTTGAGTTATCCAGGCACCAATAGGCTGAAGTCACAGGGGCTAGAATTCCTTTTTTCTTTTTTAAATTTAATTTTTAAAAAATTCTGAACTTAAACACCCCTGAAAGCATTTCCATATACAAAGAACAAAAAAATGGAATTCTATGTGAAAACCACTTCATACTGCTTGGGTTTTAAAAAATTATATAATGAACAAAAATTACTTTCAAAACTGTCCTGTTTGTGCTTCCTTCTGAACATGCAATTTTTTTTAAAAAAATGACTCTTTTTATTGACATCATGATTACTAACCTTCCCCCAGCTCTCTTTCCTCCCACAATTTACTGAAAGAAGAGAAAACCCTTATAACAAATAAGCATAATCATACAAAAAAAAATCCCATTTAGTGGCCATGTCAAAAAATGCATGTCCCTGTACTGTGTGTCAGTCACCTCTCTGTCAGGAGGTTGGTAACATGCTTTATCGTAGGTCCTCTGAAGATGTTGGTCAGTGCTTGGATCAGAATTCTTAGGTCTTCGCAAGTTGTTGTTTTTGTTTTTTTAAATATACTATGTTGTTCTTGTATAAATTGTTCTTCTCTTTCTGCTCACTTCATTCTGCATCATGATGTTCATACTACCTGATTCTCTGCAATAATTTCTTGTAATATTTTATAGCATATTAATAGTCTATTGATATATTATTATATATTAATATACATGTAATATACTAATATTCCATTATATTCATAAACAATTTATTCAGCCATTTGCTCATAGTCTGAGAAGCAATCTAAGATTCTAATTTTCTTTTCATTTCCCCTCTTTTAGTGATTCTTTCAGGATTAGGAAGTTTGTTTTACTTTTGACTATTCTCTCCCTAGTAATATCCTCCTTAAGCAACTTCCTCCATCCCCCATTTCCCTCTTGAGTTTAATGTGTTTCTACACCAAACTGTATTCAATCTTCCTTTATTTCAGGTAAGAGGGGAGTTCATGCTGCCCACTAGCTCCCACCCCATTTCTGTACACTCTTTTCAGACACCCCAGTTATGAGAAACAACCAATCCTACCCTCTTTTCCCTCCTTTCCTTCCTAGTGT